GATATGCTGGGAGGGGCAGGTCAAGGTAAGGAAGGTAAGTTGGGAGATGCCGCGCAGAATCCTAGCGTCCTAGGGGCGGTACTAGATTTTGCGGAGGCATCGCAGAGATTTCGAAGTCGCGCGCCACGAGGGCGGCAGAACAAAACCCCAGGCACCGGCCAACACAGGCCTTGACGAGGCTCCAAGTTCGTCAGGAAAGTAATAGTTTACTGTCAAGCATGTACATAGAGATTAGAGATAGTGGTACCCTGCATATCGCTTAAGGCGAGGGGTCAGCGTATGAATTATCATCATCATCATCACTGTATAGAATGATCATTCAAACTAGATGTGATCTCTGAGTACGTAATTTTATTTCACCTGTCATTTCACCTGGGTCCACTCAGATTCTGGCATTATGGTCCGAGCGGAGCGTAATCAATAAGTCAATTATCCCAGAACTGCGCATTCCGGTAGGTGCAATTTGATGCCGCTTAGTATTTCTGACCTGGCTGCCAGGATGAGGAGCCAAAGATGATGTTTAGAATGCGTCGGCTGTCCAGAGGCACGAGCTCGAGGGTATATAAGCAGCGTCAGCTGTTGAAGGGTGTCCAGTGTTTTTGTTATCCTCTTTATTCAACGTACAAACGAAGACAGGCTTATAACCTCCCATAACAATGACCTTCCTACCACGTGAGATAATCGACCATATAGCCCGTCATCTTCCACTTGTATCTTCCACTTCTGTACATCGCGCCATTGATATCAAGCCGCATCCACGAGAGGCTACGGCCTTCAACCTTTGGACTTCCATTTTTAAAAGCGAAGAATGGCTTGACAAAATTGTGGACGAATTTGGTGCCAAGCCATTTCTTGTCGGCTCCAATTTGGATGAAATCACGGTGCCCCCCGATCAGAGGAAAAACAAAACCATATTCGTGTTGCTACACAGTGCCGATCTATCTGGTGATACAAGATACGAAACAGCCGGCGATCGAAAGACGAAAGATGAAGAGAAACTCTTTTTCCAATGTTTAAGAGACGGCTATCAATTCAAGAAAAGAAGCAATGAGATTTGGTTCAGAGATATCGGCGTCGTACTCAATATCTCTGAACCGCTGCGCGGGTATGAGTGGGTTCCACTAGGGACAAAGCGTCTGAAGCGGCTTGTCAAGTCTCAGGATGGCAAACTGCAATCTAGGTATTCTTTCTTTACCGACAAGCAAGTCAATCTAGTCGAGTCGCCTCAGATTATCGGCATCGGAGGCCCTATTTTCAAACAAAAGGCAATTGGGCCCGTCTTGGCACTGAACCTTGTTAATTCTGGAACAAGGTTGCAATTTGTCTTCACAAGAAATGAGAGGGATGGCTTCTCAATCGCTTCAATGGAAGGCACCCGAAGATACGCTAACTATTCTACAATAATATCGTCATTTAGGGGATGACTTGGAGGGCTCTGTGGCTAGAAGTTGCGTTATAATCCCTCGCTGGTTGTCACACTGTACTGTGCGATGATCACTTTTCGAACTACTGAGGGGCCCGAATGAAATCTCAAGACCAGCCAACAAAGGCTTGGAGAATATTGATGATTCTTAAATTCAAGCCCCTAGCTCTTATATTATCCCCGTTTTTCTTGACATCTTGCATACAGACTTTCCAAGAAACGCCTTCACCACCTGCTAACTTGCCTTCTTTCCCGAACCCTTATGCCAAGGCGCCTTATACAGTACCTTGTAAGGTTAAGAACTATATAGATTGTCCAATTATCTTGGAGCCCGGTCCCAAGACATGGGGTATCCCGACTTGGCATTAGGGCTTGGGAAGGAAGGAAAGAAGCAGATAGTGAAGGCGTTATCCGGAAAGTCTGTACATAATTCATCTAATCCTAATCTATCTACAAATAAGACTCTCCATGTCGATTTGTTGAGTATTCCTTTTGCCTATATACATACTGTATAAGAACCTCAAAGTCTGGCTAGAGATATATTTAGAAAGGCGGTGCCCATGACAGCTGCCTCTGTATGACATATAACGTACATATGTACCAGAAACTCGATTACAAGTCACAGGTTCGATACAGAGGAAGTCGAAACTAGCCTTCTTCTCTTTCTCTGATTAAGTATACACTAGCCTAAAGATAGTAAGGTTGTAAATTATATGTAGTTGCCAAGCCGTGAATTTGGCGCTTTACCATTTATTCACAAATTAGAGTTTCGGGGGAACAAAGAGGGTAAGTACGTTGGGGAGGGGGGGGACAATAGCTTTGGCTTCACTCTGTACAAGCTTTTCTTTCAATAGGAATATAGCTAGTCCCATCACTAGGCAGAATCGGTTTGGTATTCTTATTAGGTTATGGTTTGGAAATCATTCCAGTATTAAGGGTAGAAGGAATTTTCGGGTGCGTCTGTAAATGAAACCTTTACTCCATATAAGTTTAAAATAGCCAATGTTATATATACAGCTGCGAGCTTTGTTAACCACGACAGTCTAAAAGTTATTACCAGAAAATGAGGTACTGGCAAGCTTTTTCGATATTTCTTCTCTTCCAGTCTACTTGCGGGAACTGTCAATGTACCGACGAATTCTATGAGATTGATTGGTCAAAGACACTGAAAATTGACCAATTAACATCTGCGATTCTGACGATGCCTATCACTACAGCAGATTGCTAGGTAATATTTTACCCACCTCGCTCCAAGAATTTGATGTAACTTCATAGGCAGGGTAGACCATTCTGCATTCTTCAGTACATAGCTATATGCTCAAAAAGCGAGGGGAAAAATAGTATAATACCCACTTGTATATTCCTTGTCATAATAGCTTAGAATACATCAAGAGAGTACAGGCTATGAGGGTAGTATCCTATGTCAAAGCACAGAAACTTGTTTGCAAATCCTACCAGTGTTCATACGGAATGGAATCTGGGCAGAATATAGCCAACTCTTCTATATTTACATCCAAAAATTGATAGATTAATCTGGCCCTCAACTTTTCCTGTGTGCCTTGCATTCTTACTGCTTGTTTATCCGAAAATTATTTTACTATAGTTGAAAAGGAAACGAATACCCCGTGAATTAAAATAGGATTGAGGCCTGGTTATGTATCGCGTGGCTGGAAAATCTAATGGGGACAGAAGGCAGCGAAGATGTGACTGCTGCACAGGCTCGCGAAGCCTGCTGGGAATGGCTTTCTCGTTGCTTGGATGTATGTTTAGCAATGGCCAGTTTGACCGGGCCATCAGGGCTTGGGTGAGTGCTGAATTTCGCCTTGCAACCTGGGCCGCTTCGCACCGGCACTGGCGCACGGCTATGCGACGATTTTGAATCTTTAGTACGGGAAACCGTCATACCAACATTTTTGTCCAATGACCTCTAGATACTACGCAACTACTTGTAACTGAAATCTATCGAAATTTTGTTAACCGTACAATACTGTACATTTACTTAGTAGGACACCTGTATTATTAATGCATAATCCAAATACAGTCTAGGTAAAATTGGCATTGTAGTAGAATAACTTTGGAGCTTTTTTTTTCTTTCTCTTCTTTTTTTTTCGTTCTAGAAGCGAACGTTTCAGGATCCAAGACAAACTATTCTTGCTCGTTAAAGGGTGGTTATATTACTTTTGTATACTTTCAAATATAAAAACTGGAGCGGCGCATATTGTAATCTCAAGTGTCACTTATTTGGATACGCCAGAGAAATGACCCCCACCTAGTAGAGCTCCCGAGATAGATATTATTGCCAGTATAATCAACATTATTGCCATCATAAATTGGTACGGAAGAGGATCATCCGGTTGCTCGATTTCGGGACCACTATCTGAGGCGTCATCCCATTCGTCATCCCACGGTGCGTAGTTTGCCATATGGTCGCTTGATATCTTTGAGCTCTCAATGGGTTTTGCTGGTATTAGGTCGGCATTCTCAGAGCGTCGTTCGTCAGGATGGAGATTACAGCACGTACCAGGTACATATGCGGAAAGTGTAGGTGATTTATTTTGTTTATAAGGGAAAGTTCTGTCGGCCTAAGTCCAATTGTGAGAAAAACATATTTGCCTTGGAAATAATCATATTTAGAGACGTACCACCGGGCTAAATTGTTTGGAAATCAAACTGATCGGTGATACTATATGAATTGCTGTACGGACGAGAAGAGCCTGGCAGAAAGGGTCTGAATGTCGGTTTGAGCGTTCTGGGTTCTTTGTCAATGTGACACTGTTAAGTGGCACTGGTCCTACAGTACTGTCTTTTTTCAATGTATATTTATAGGATCTGAAAAGCATGGACCTCAAACAAGCCAATGTTCCCGAGTCCGCAGTGAATTGTTAACCCAATCTGGTTAGAGCATTCGATATTCTATACCTTGTTAAGTAGCAAGCGCCGATCCTTTAGGATATTGTCTGCGCTGGTATATTCCGACATTCTCTTGACTTAAATCGCGTTCAAGCTAATGAATTCACAACTCAAGCTGTTGCTACGTGCCTGAGACGCCAAGAAGTGCAATCGATTTGCTGCCATATTTCATAACAGTCCCGGTTACTGCCCTAGCACTGTAGTATTTAGGATTGCTTTCCTACCTCCTACATATAATACGGTCCTCTCATCTGTGCATGTCGAATCTAACCTTTTCCTCACGTTCTTCCCGCTGTAGCTCTTTCAAAAGCTGGTCATCCGCGCCGTCTGTCTCCTAGTCGGTCACATTTCAGAGCGTCTTGATACTCTTTGCTATCAGGCCCCCTATCAGCCGCAAAGCATACATCAGTTTCATCCCACCATGGCGAGGAAATCGTCTAGAATCACGAAAAAGTCATCTAAAAAGGTATAAATATATGAGATGATGCTGTTTATCAAATATATACTTATAACTGCAGGCCAAATTTACTGCCTGTGGTGAATGCCGCCGCCGTAAGATTAAGGTAAATTTGCTAGAGAACTCGAGCAGTACTTCGACTGACTTGTACAGTGTTGGCCAGGTTATCCCTGCGGATTTTGCTTGAAATATGAAAGAGAGTGTGTGCGGATGGCCCCAGTATTTAGGGAGACTCAACCTCTCATCGAGACTTCGTCTGCAACAGAGACGCCTTCAAAATCCGTGTCGGGCCACATTCCACTAGATTCAACATCGTCGTGTGTTGGCGAAGCTGTCAGTCCCGAAATTCTTCACGAAAATAGCATGAATGGCGACAACAGCCTGCCAAATACTCCAACAGCCGTCAACTTCATACGGGAAGACCAAGATAGTGGTATCGATAATAGGATGGACCATCACCGCGTCTACACCCTCGGTTCTATCATGTTCGACACCTCGGCCTCCTTGGAGCAGGGAATTACAATAGTACCTATTGAGGCACACATGGCTGATAGTGATATGCATTCCTCTGGACAGGTCACTTTCATGCTGACCGACAAAACAGCTATCGAGCTGGCAAAAATGCATAAATATATTTATTCTCAGCAGTCCCTTCTGTACGGCGGAGGATCGTACAGCGAAATTCGACAACAGGAGCTAGACCACTTGAATCACCAGTTCGCGGCAGCATTAAAGAATTTGAACTTTAGTATCGACTACGAAGCCCTTGGAGTGACAGATCACACAGCATCGGCTGATATTTGCAGTCGCGTGGAGACGCTGATTTCGGCCATGCTGTACTCTCAATACGCGTTACGCTTTGGCTTGTGGGCATTCATACCCGACTTCATCTGATAATTTTGTATGCAATGGTCTATATCGTCTACACATACTTCACGTAATGCTCCTAAAAGTTTGTTTCCCATTTCCCATAAGCATTCAGAGCTCCTATAGGACAACACGAATTCCTAATAGTTCGTGCCCTAGCGGCTGCAAGGGTGCTAAAAATTATTTGTGGACGTGCAAGTTACATTTCCCTTTCATTTTCCTAACCTGGCTAAGAAAATGATTGTTGTGTGTTTTCCGGAATATCCCGACATCATCCCCCATTGGTCGTTATGAGGCGCCATATTACCGAGCCCTGCCATCGGTTCAACACTGAAGCTGCTGGAAAACAGAAATATTTGCAAACTTGGCCATCTTAGAAGGGAAATGTTATCTCAACACATCATCATTTGCTTTCATGCTGTGACATTACCCTCTGTGATCGACGTAAATTATTGGCATTTTCGTCCGCTTTGACTTTTAAGATCAACCGTTGTAAGGGCGCATTGTAGAGGTGTAAGAGCCTTGCCGAGAGATTATTGACAAGGAATTCTAGAAGCCAAACTCGCGCATAGGCGTCCAAATTATCTGCATTCCGACTAACGCGAGCAAATCCCAGAAGCTCAACCACTGGAATCGCAATTGGATGGCCCTTGACCTGGACGAATAGGCCCGGTACAAACTTTTCGGTCATCCTTGTTTTGGACTGCCGGCGCTGGCGAATCTCATTCTCGGACATGCTGGCCAACACCACTGGCGGGGCTGCATAATCTTGAACGAATTGAGGGACTATCTCAGAAAAGTTTGCCGCTTGAATCCTGATTCGAACCTCAGTCAAGTAATACGTCACGCCTTTATTCACCTGATCGCTTAGCATCGAAAGAAGCTGGTTAATAGTGAAGCCATCCTATGAGGATTTAGCTGCATCCACAGACCTATATCCTGGTTGATTTAGCATTATAAATGACAGGTATCAAGAGGCTAGCAACGGTCTTGGGAAATTATTATCTATCCCGGGCGAAGACCTAGTCCTCTAAATCTCTTATACATGAGATCTGGCCGTGGGTTGATTAATGGCTAGGCTGGTTTAAGTCTTATGGAGACAGGTCTCAATAGGACGGACAAGAAAGTAAAAGTGAAGTAAAGAAGCTAGATGAGAATGATTAGTATGATATGGCAATCTAGGGATTCCTACGGCTGCTAGTTTAGCTCCGTGTGATCTTCTTATAGGACTTAATTATTTTTTGCAAGCAATTCCCATTATATCCTATATGGGATAATTCTATCTTTATCTGAGAAGACTATTGGGCTTTTGCTGCAGAGATTAAGCAATCTATTTAGGAGATTAAAGAGCTTAAGCTAGTTCAGCTATAAAAGGCTCTGCTAGATTTAGTTGCGTGACTTAATTATGTCCGATGTGATCTTTAATAGGGATTAGGCCATGCTATTAATGAATGGGGCAGGAAAATACAGCACTAGCTCTAAGAAATTGATAACTATTTTTATAATATTACAGGCGGCCGGGTGGCTTTTATCTTATAGACTATAAATCTAGACGTGAGTGAGGCTTTGTTTCTGCGGTTTAGAGTCCATAACTTATGTTCCAGATGCTAACCAGTCCTTTTTCTGCTACAACTGCTGCTTCTATTGGGATAATAGCTAATCATCATAAAATCAATTGAAGCAATTAAATCATTAACCACACTACCAAAAATGAGTCAATCATCTCAAATTTTGAAAATCAAGAGGGCAGAACCCTTCTTGCAATTAAAGCCATTCAAAATAAAAAAATCTCTTCTCTAGCTCGCGCGGCTAATGTTTTTGATGTTCCTCGAACCACTCTACAGAGGCGCCTCAAGGGAGACAGTTATCGCGCAGAAACTCGCGCAAATTCTCATCGATTATCGCTAATTCAAGAGGAATCGCTTATTCAATGGATAATTTCTAGGAATTCGCGTGGAATGCCTCCTAGACCTTCTCACGTGCAAGAAATGGCCGAAATCATCCTCCGAGCAGACGATCCATCGCGATTTAAACCTCTCGGCAAGAACTGGGTTACAACCTCCATAAAACGACGCCCAGAGATCAAATCCCGCTTTTCAAGGCGATATAATTACGAGCGAGCGAAATGCGAGGACCCTCGGGTTATACAAACATGGTTTGATCAGCTACAAAAGATTCGGATGCAATACGGGATCGCGGATGAAGATATCTTCAATTTTGATGAAACTGGATTCGCTATGGGTCTTATCGCTACTACGAAGGTATTAACGAGGTCTAATATGCCTGGAAAACCTCATTTTATTCAGCCAGGCAATCGGGAATGGGTTACAACGATTGAATGCATCAATTCAAGCGGGTGGTCGGTCCCTACATGCATTATCTTCAAAGGTAAGGTCCATATTGAAGGTTGGTATGCAGAGAATCGTCTTCCAGGTGATTGGATGATTCAAGTTAGTTCAAATGGATGGACTACCGATGAAATTGGTCTTATATGGCTTGAAAAAATCTTTATTCCTTCAACCTCTCGCCGTACAGTGGGCCAGTATCGCCTGCTTGTTTTAGACGGCCACGGAAGCCATCTGACGCCTGCATTCGATGAATTATGCGAAGATAATAAGATTATACCAATCTGCATGCCTCCGCATTCATCCTATCTCTTGCAACCGCTCGATGTTGGTTGTTTTGGTCCTCTAAACGCGCTTATGGAGGACTCATTGAACAGAGGATTCGTCTCGGGTATAATCATATTGATAAGCTTGATTTTTTACAAGCGTATCCTACCGCTCATCTACAGGTCTTTACTGCTTTGAATATTCAAAATGGCTTCGCTGCAACGGGAATTGTTCCTTTTCAACCTCCGAGAGTGCTCGAAAAGTTCAAAATTCGCCTTGCAACTCCTACTCCCCCGATGAGCCGTGGCTCTACAAATTCAACTCTAGTAACGCCTCATACAGTAAAGCAACTGCAGAAATCGGCTTCATCGATAAAAAATATGCTAAAGCAGGGGCCCCGCAGTCCCTCCACGCCTTCAAAACGCCTCTTCCAGCGCTTTCTGAAAGGGTTTGAATACTCGCTTTACAACGCGGCGCAACTCGCGCAAGAAAACGCCAATTTACGCGCGGAAAGTGCAAATAACCGCTTAAAAAGAGCTCGATCAAAGCGTCAAATGACCCCTACTGAGGCCAATTCCATAGAGCAAACGAGAGGTTCAATTCAACAGCGAAATGAATGAATGGAGGCTATAAATCAGGAATATATACAGGCGAGAACTTCAACTTCAGGGGCCCCAAAACGCGCTCCACCTACGTGTTCTAATTGCAATATTCAAGGCCATACTAGAACTAGATGTCCTACACGAGCGAGTTAAATCGCTTCAATGAAAAACGCGTTGTTTTGTTGATTTTTAATGGCTTCAATTTTTGAATGTGTGGTCGATCTCGGGTGGGGCGCCCACTCGGTTGGGAATTACGTTACTAGTTAACTATTATTCACAGTTCCAACTGTTTGTGCTGTTTGATCACCCGCGGGTCTCGCCGAGGTCTAGTCGAAAGTTGGGTTTTGCGGAAGTCTACCTTCAAGCAGCTTTCCATAGGCGCATTTAAGCGGGCCAAAAACACCCACATTAAGCGGCTGAAGGAGATGCGAAGAATCGATAGGCGTATAAAGATATATTATTGCATTTTGTTGCAAAAATCATCGAATTTAACAGTTAAATAACTACTATAGCTATCGAAAATAAGTAGGCGTTTTGCACCAATCATATAACGCCTAGATGAGGGTTTAAAATACATTTTTTAGCCAGTAAAGACCTATTTCATCGGTAATCCAGCTATTTTAACTTGTTGCAATCCACCAGTCTTTAGTAAGCTTGGATGCTTGAAACTATACAGCTTGCTAATTGCCTGCCTTCGGTATAATGACTGGTAGTCGACTATTTTGAACATTGTCGGAGAAACATCAATGCAGTTAACAATTGTCGCTAAGATCGGATAACAACCGTGCTTGCGCCCGTTTTCCAATCTCTGAATAGATGCTTGTTATCAGACTCGATATATTTGCATAACTACAAGGTTGACTGGAAAGAAGCATCTAAAGTAATGAAGGGCGCTCTCATACAAGCCAATAATTTATGCGATTATCTGTCTAAATAATTTCGATTCCGAGGATGATATAAACTATGTTTCAAGTGACCAAGAAGACAGTGGCCCCGAATTAAACGGAGAGTGAATGAAAATGTCGTTAGAAGCTACCAGACTCCGACTTGAGCCATTGTTGCAGTTCACGCAACACCAACTTGACAGGAGATATGTCTGGGTTGAATTTGCGTGCGCTACTCGAAACCGACGGATTGATTAATAATTAGGTAGCTTTCTGGCTCAGGGAAATAAAAAGAAAGAACTTACTGATGGGACCAGAGATTAATTATCACTTTCCTCTAACTTAACACAATTTTGTGAATTACTGTACCTTATGCGGATACAAGCCTGAGGAGAACGACTGTATCATCTGAGGTACAAGCCTGAGAAGCCTGAGACTGTTATGTTGAGAGAATCTTTTGAGGCCTCAGAGCATTGCTACTCGACGCGAGAGAACAGAAATGTCGGGACAGGCCGAGATACAAACCTCTGAATTGCCCGACCGCAACAAAAATGAAAAATCATTACTATGATTATTGAGACTAAAACGCACCATTAGATTACCTAATAACTATAGGCAAGAATAAGAAATCAATATCTAATAGAGACCTACGCGCTCTTAGTAGAAGAAGAAGATTTAGAACAAGCTAGTAGCTCAACGTAAAGTGATGACTTCGGACAATATCTCAGCTAAGAGCGATAATATAAATACTGCTAGCTTGGTAAAAGAGCTTATAAAACTTAAAAAAGATATTAAACGGCGAGATGATTTGCATAGAAAGGAGATGCAGAAAGTACAAGAAGAATTGTAGAAAGTCAATGAAGGATTTAGCGCTATCCTTGCAGAGCTACAGACTTTAACACCGCAACCTCTTTCTGAATCATGCTCCTAAAACGGCCATGACAAGATTCTTCGCAAAATCCAGTCCTTGCGCATTGTAATCAGCCCTTCAGACCTCACTGCAGGATCCCTATCCTATGCAGATGTTGCCCGCACTCTCCCAACCAGTTATCTGAGCAATATACAGACTCTGTCATTAGTGTATACAGCACTAATTCTCTTCACTACTGTAACACGTTGTATTGTACGATTGATATCTTGAATATGGTAAATAATAAAATTGAAAAAGTTTCTGCAGTATCTATCCGGGCGGCGGTTGAAACAGATCCGAACAATAGAAAACCATATGTACTGGCGCTGTCGCGCTGTTACGGTGGATCTAAAAAATATAAACCGAATAAAAATAGCGTGCCGCGATACGTAAAACTAAATACTAACTGGTTAAGCAAGTGGCGGAAGCAAAGATCAGAGAGGGAGCTCAGATGTTTTAGAACGAGCTTTATCTAATTAAGATTAACAGTATTAACAGAATTACAGTACTAAATAAAAACTATAAGATCCGAGCTGGAACTGCTGTAATCTTTAGTGAGAAGAATAAAGCCACCGTTATTAAGATCGCATAGCTCAGTATTCTAACGGACGGCAAGCGGGGCGCCGGAAACGGCTCCCATTGCACGCGTTGCTGGCCCTTCTGCCGCCGCCGACCGCTTACCGCCCGCGGTCATCCCATTGCCTCGAACGGCATAGCGCCGGCCCTTTTCGGCCTAGCTCCCTCTCGGTCCCCGCCTCGCCGCTTTTGCCCGTCCGCGTGCTGCCCCAACACCATCTATATAACGCCGGCCCTTCCCCCTGGACCGGCCACGCACTTTCTCTTCTCAATTTTCCCCTCCCTCCTCGCCCTGGGTGGTGCACTGCCCCCTTCCCTACATGCCGTGTTATCCGACGATTGCTCAGATGCGGTAAAGCGCCCTGCCTGCCGTCCTCCTTTCATTTCCCGTTGTCTGGCCTGTCCGGAGTCGCCGACGTGCCCACAGGCTGATTCACGGGGAACGTTCGTGCAGTTTACAGAGTTACGCCATTTTCTGCGTCACATTAGATTCGTGGCGAACCGGTTATTCCTGTCGCCCTTCAGCGAGCGCTGCTCTATCATAGTCGTTTGAAAATGACAGTGCCTTTACCTCAGCTAGCAAAAGAGCCCTTACGTCTTCATCGCTTTCTCCGATCACTTGTCCACTCCGATATTTCCTTTGGGGGCCATGACTGAGGAAGATGGAAAAATGTCTCATCTGCTCTTGTTCACGCTGGCGTCAGCCGATGGTGGCACCAAGTCTCCACTTTCAGGTTGGGAAGGGCTCGACCACTTGCACCCCGTCACCGGCTCGACTTCGGAGTACCTTCCCATCTTCCTTGGGTCTGCCGAGCCCATGGGCCAATGGCGAAAATCCCGCACTGCTAGCTGGGACTCGGTTGTGGCCAGAAATCCCGCAGTTGTTCAGCTGTGGGAAGTAAAAGCTCCAAACCCCGAATGCGATTTGCCTTGGGCGCAGCTTCCCGTCGCCCTTGTCACAAGATGATTTGTCCCGTTAGCTGGGGCAGTGAAAGGGGGTTACTTCGATTGGAATGATCTCATGCGAGTGAGCAGGCTCAAGCCGGAGCGTTTTCTAGCTCGGGAGGCGGAGATGGGCGAGCTGCTGGGAAAAAGTCTGTTGTCTGCTGACCTACGGAGTCAAGTCCTCTTTTTCGGTTGAAATCAAAGATATGATCGGGCTTATAAGGAAGTCGGCAAACCCTCCCGGAGCAGTTATCAAGAATTTCCGTCTTCCTTTCGCCACATACAGCACACAGCACTCGGAACACCTCCATCCCTCTCTATTCCTTGACCTTGCCACTCTTCTGCCCTGGAACATGAGCACCACTGCTTTTCCCATTGTCTCCTTTAGACCATGGAATCCCTCCCGCCCCAAACCAATTCCACGGCCACGCCCTTCACATGCTTCACATGCCCACCCTCACAAAGCCCCCTTTCCTGTCAGAAGCAGTCCTGCCTTTCCCAGTACGCATCATGTCCCTGTTTCTCCGGGTTGCTTGGATGGCCGGCAAAGCAATCAACGGCACTTGCTCCCTGCACGGCCACCTGCCGAATTTTGTGTGTATGGGAATTCCCAGTCAGGCATTAGACAGGGAGCACGTTCTGGGTTTAGAGAGGAGCCTGTCTCGACCACCAGCGAATCCAATGGCATATCATTCTCAGTACCTGATAAGTCGCCTGTGTATTCTGCAATCCGCGCCACAGCGTCTCCACGAGCGCAAAACCCGAGTGGCTCACCAACCTCAGACCGAAGTCGTCTCCATGATGCCATTACCACCGATACCTCCGTCACAGATCGCAGTGTTCCATCCAGGAAGCTAGTGGATGCCACCCTGTATCGGAAAGCCTGGAAAGCTCGATACGACCGTCTTCAGTTCCAGACGAGCCGACTGCCCTTCCGATCGATCCGATCATCTTAGGTGATGAGTTTACATTGGGATCGAGCCAGCTGTGCCAGAATATTGATGATAGTGATGACATCTGGTCCCGTCAAGAAGAGACGGCTTGTCCGTATCCCGAACCTCCCATGTTGTAACAGAGCATATTCGACAATGATTATCTCTCCTTTGAGCTGATTGACGAGAATCGACCAGCCACCTCTCCTCATGGTAATGAACACGCTCGAGAGGTATCTCTGGATAATAGCACTGAAGGTAATGGATCTTTGCTTCAGCGCTCAGAGCAACAGCACTGCAGCATCGACGTCAACCGAGGTGGACAGCGCAAACGGCCACTCACCGGGACGATCGAAGACAAAAGACGGCCATATAAACGCCAAAGGCTTGACGCAACATCTTCGCTGCCTGCTGGGAATTCTTGCGCCAGCCTCCGTGATCATTTTATATCATTGCCAACAAACGCTCGCTTAGAGTTTCTCTCCTGGCTGTTTGAAGCAGCACTGCCACGATGCACATTTGAGCCGGAAATCACCGCCAGCATCACACCTGCAAAGAGTAAACTCAATACAGGAGCCCGAAAACAAGTCCGCTGGGCCACGCCTCATGGGAATGCAGGATCTCTGGATAACAGCAGTTCCCTAGAAAAATCCAGGAAAGGGTTGCCATGGTTTCCTGAGGAGAGTCTTTTGCTAGAATTAAGGAATACTCGGGGACTACCTTGATCTGATGTAACGAGATTATTTTCGGATCAATACCCCGGAAGGAGCCAAGGCTCTATTCAGGTATATTGGAGTACGAAGCTCAAACAGAGGCAGTCATAACGATGCCTGTACTAAATTACGCTGGCCATTTTCGTGTCCCATCGAAGTAATGATCGAAAATGTCACACGCGTGATGAGAGTTTCGAGAGTTTCTGACTCAATACTGTGTCTACGCCAATCGAAGATGAATCCAATTTGCTCAGGGTCGCCTGAAGAAAGCGCATGAAGAAGTTTGATCCATTCTTTTTGTAGGAGTAGAGGTTCCAACTTCTCAACTTTAGAAACCACCATAGTTTGCTGGTCCCGAATATGATTGTTTTGCATCCTAGGAGTATTTTTTTTTTACTCTTTCAAGTCGACTCAATTTGTTATAATGCCTATATGTAATGCTATTGCCATTGGATGTCACACTAGACGAGGTCGCTTCCGCTTACGTGTATCTGTTTCGCAAGAGATCTTTCTAGGTAGCCTCATCCGCTTATTTCTCAATTGAGGGTCCAACACCGAACGATGGAAGTCAATGATTAAAACCCGGCTTAGCTCATCGTTCCACAGCAAATTATCCAGTCGAAGATCCTGATGTGATACTCCCAATGAGCGAAGCTTGTTTATAGACTTCGAAATAGAATTAGAGATGTGAGAGCTTCTTGCTTCGGATTCGCTGATCGGCCTTCCTGCCCACGCGATGAGTAGCATATGTCGAATCTCTCCGGCTCCATGCAAGAAGTAGATCTTAGCCAAGTCGATCGCTCCGAGGAACACCGGAACCACCGAACCCTGCACTCGCGAAAGGATACGATAGATGTCTGCTTCGCGTGATACCTCGTTCCAGAGATAAGAAGTAGTTCCTTTACCGACGACTGTATAGCCATACGTTGCACAGGTGATTTTGAACGGCGCCCCAGATGCTCCACAGCCTCCCATGGGTGTACAATCATCGATATCTTCATCCAGTTGCTGTTTAATCCGTTGAACCAATATCTCGGTGTTGATGAGGTGTCGATTGCCGTTTCCTCCCTTCCGGTGGAATGTTACATTCGGGCAGTACTCGTCTAGTGGACTCCCCTCTTGCAGACCGAGTAGACATCGCTGAGTACAAAACTCCGCCTGATGATGCTGCTTTTGACCGTTATGGGCATGTCCGGAGCCTGTCTGGCGTGCCGGTCGTTGCACGGATGGGGACAACGGAGACGAGGTGACTCGACTGAAGCGACGCTTCTGCCCTCTAAGCGCCGAATCCTCATCAGAATCGGAAGGGTCATTGCGTAAGACTAGAGCCGAGGGTGCACATTGAGTTCGAGATCGAGTTGGCGGTCGACGTCCCCCTGTAGGGGATTCGAGAGGGGACGACGGTAAAAACACTGAAACGGAACCTTCGGAGCTCGTAGATACTGAGGGAGTATTTTGTGCATCTGGAGGGATCCGTCGCAGTTCCGCATCTGGGATTTTGGAACGCTCGTGGTCAAAACTCGTCTTCCATACTGGAAGTAGATCCTTCGCGTGATTTCGCCAATTCTGGTCACGCAAACTTGAACCAAAGCTCATAAGACAGAGGCATAGCACACGGGCAATACTTGTTGCCGGCTGCCGAAGGCTTTGATCATTCTCAGGGTTCACTTCCATGTTGGGCTCGCAGAGGTGGTAGTATAAAGTTGTCGGGTCATTATAAGGGACTCGCAGCAGAACCACCGCCAATCCATTCGTCAAGTAGGAGTATTCGAGCCCTTCTTGGATCATCACATGGAACTCTTGAGCTAGCACCGAGCCCGTGAGCCGGGCTGCATTATATCTCAGTTTCTCAGGTTCTTGCGTAGGGATGGAATCGGGCGCGACCACCTCGTCCCAGAATTCCATCGGTCGCAACCCGGAGCGAATATTTTCGACGCTTAGTTTATGAGGAGGTTTGTACTCAACCGTTGTAAGGATAGTTTTTGAAGGTCCACGGCGTATGCAAAATTGATCCGGTCTGGAAGGCCGCGAGGTCGACAATTCTCTCGGTTGTGATGATTCAACTTGAGGATCAAGGGCGTTTGCGTGGTTGTCAAATCTGACTCCGTCACTCAAGTGGAACTCGTGTCGAGCGGCAGGTTTCTCGCAGAGCGCTGCGATAATGTCACGAACATGATTTTCCACACCAAATCGTTCATAGCTCTCCAAATCTTGTTCACTGCTTATAGGTCTCCTGAGTTCTTTTCCGAAGCCCTCTAGCACGTGGCGCGAAAGGAAGAGCTGCTCAGCATCTTGCCCCGGTGGCTCTAAATAGTTGCAAACAGAGCGGTAGATTTCTTGCTGCCTGGTTTCGCAATCAGTCCACGGGCGAAGTCGTAGCGGGCAACGTTTGCCAGTGGGCGCTGGTATCTTCCCCGTAGTAGAGCGAGACGGATCTTCGGCTCTCAAAGGCCGCGAAAACAGGTTGTGACAATGTCGAGTGAACTCAATAAAAGTCGTTTTTCGCGTTTGTTCTCGATCCTGATCCCTTTCTTTCTCTGCCTGTCGCTGGCTTTCCTCTGCCTGTCGCTGGCTTTCCTCTGCCTGTCGCTGGCTTTCCTCTGCTTGTCGCTGGCTTTCCTCTGCTTGTCGCTGGCGTTCTTCTGCTTGTCCCCTCAACTCTGCTTCACGTCTTCGCTCCTCCTCGGCCCACTTCCGTTCTTCCTCCGCTCTTAAGAAGAGTGCTTTGTAGTCTGGGGAGCTGCTGTTAGCCATCAGCTCTATAGCAGGACGAAGAATAGTGTACAACCATTGATGTTTTAGGTGGGGATAGGGCCCGCTGAAAGGGGGCGTACGTCAGCAAATAGTCGGCGATCGGTCAAATTATTCTTCCGTATTATTGTGTGTTCTACCCTCCGGGCTTGGCATTATACCCTCATACACCCCAAGTAAGTATAGTGTAGGCCCTTATATTGACCTGCACTAACGAAGGCCTACGCCGACAAGGGCTTACGCCAATGAAAATCAACTGAGGGCCTACGCCGACGAGGGTCTACGCCAACGAGGGCCTACGCCGACGAAGGGTCTACGCCGACGAGGGCCTACGCCAATGAAAATCAACTGACCTCCCCCAGCTCAGAACAAATTTTTGAAAACGCGTAAATTTTTGCAATCTCTATAGTTCACCTATATCCTATTGGGCGATTACATCAATTAACGCGTGAAAACGCGTTCAATTCGTTGTAATGGCGCCAAAGTGGCCGCAGGTAAACAATGGGCCGGAACACATCAACGAGCACGCCACATACCTTCGAGAAGCATGCCAACAATTGCAGGACGTGGAAAAAGGCAGGCAGAATCAAGTACCGTGGAAGATAGTGCAGCAATATATCTCATCTACTATTGCCCTTGCGAGCAAGGTGCTCCAGCAGCCCCCATTAAGCGACATTGTTCACCACATGCAGGATGCAGTTAAATGTACACAGAACATTCAGAGGGATATTTCGATCATTAGAAATTCCGTGGGCCTAAGCACCGCTGCACCGAGTGCCGCCAACTTCAACGGAGGCAGACCTGCTGCAACCTGGGCGCAGGTAGCAACACAAGGCAGAAGCGCCCCCGTGTTACCCCCACCAGTCCCCCAAAGCACGCGGACCTCCAAGACCGAATCCACCGTCACGGCATACAAGGACCGAGCAATAACAGTCAGACTCAAAGATCATGGAACTGCCCAGCGCTTTCGAGCGCTCCCCGCCATCAAGATAAAGCAGCATATCGAGACATCTATTAAAAATCACACAGCCACCAAATCGGTGGCGGTGGTGGCCGCCCACCAGCTAAAAAGTGGAGACATCCAGATCTTTACCTCCTCTACAGCTGAGGCCGTAAAGCTTAAAGAGAATAGACAGTGGATCAACGGACTGGGGGAACATGCGGAACTCATTGTGCCAACCTACGGAGTTATCGCCCACGGTATATCTACAAACAGTATCAACGTTAAGAACCAGAAAGCAACCATCCAGCAAATACTAGCAGACAACTACACAGTCATCCCCAATGCAAAGATCTCATACGTCGGATGGTTAACCCGGGAGTCCCCCCTCAAACGCGCATCATCAATCGTGGTGGAATTCACGGACCCAGAAATGGCCAACGCCATCATCTACGCAGGGATGGCTTGGGACGGACAGATACATACATGCCAACTCTATGACCGCGCCTGCAGAGTCAAGCAATGCTTTCGCTGCTATAATTACGGCCACATCGGTACTCAGTGCAACGCAGCTCAAACATGCGGCTATTGCGCGGAGCTACACGAGACCAAGCACTGCGACCAGAAAGGAGTCGAGGACTTCACTCCCAGATGCCCAGTCTGCAAAGGTGCCCACACGGCATGGAGCAACGCCTGCCCAGCAAGAAGGAAAGAGATGGGTCGAGTTGAACAAGCGAAACAGGTTCGGAATATTTACTGGCAGGTGCCGCCCAAAGACGAACCACGTGAGAACAACAACCCGCGGAAGAGGACTCGACACGCACAGGACCCTATCCTCGACCACATCATCGCAATAGGCACCCCCTGTGAAGAACCCTCGGAACACGCAACCATCGCTCAAGAACCCACACAGACGCATGGAGACTGTACCCAAGAACAGCGAACACCCCAGGAGACCATAGCCGCGCAAGCAATCTCCGACGCGCCAGTCGCAGGAGATTGTGTAGCATCAGCACCACGGCAAGTACCGACATCGCAGCAGTCGGCAACAGAGCAACCCCAAGAGACCGGCCTAGTAGTAGATGTCGTTCCAAGGACGGACACGGTCGAGGCTGCACTAGCCGAAATAGCATCAACCCAGCAACCTATGTACCCTGTGGAACCCTTACTTGAGGAGTTCGATTTCGACATGACTGACGCGGACGAATGGCTGGCTGAACTGGACAACAACGTCGCCGAGGAAGGATTGCACGACCCTCAAACGGTGGGATCGGTTCCAACATCCACGGCAACAAACACTCGCACAGCCCAGGGAAACATCTATAAAGCATGCCACTGCCCAGGACACCAGGAAATATACAGCAACTGGCCGACACGAGACGCTGAACTCCGAATCGCCCACTGCATGAGGATATGCATGTACTGCGGCAAAGACTTCGCGGCGGCCGCTGAACTGCGCAGGCACATCAAGAGGAAGAGGGAGTATTCGTGGAGAAACCTAACAGTACGATTCGAAAGGGGGAAACATGACGCCCTCACTCCGGAATGGATACCTAGGCCGTCAAGAACCCGAGTTTCACGGAGCCGCTCGCCAACCCGTCTAAGAACGAGAGCAGCTCGGAGCCAATCTCGCATAGACAGTCCCGACGCAGCACCCGTCACCCAATGCTAAGACACCAAGAATTGCGCATCTTACAGTACAACGTCCAAAAGTCAAGAGACGTCGTCCTCGCCAGCCTTTTCCGGAATCCCAGAATCCTTGATTTCGACATTCTGGCCATCCAGGAGCCATGGAGGAACCCGTTTATCGAGACATCATATCACCCCCTTAAAACGCACTTTCAACTCACATATCTGGCCGACCCCGCAACAAGGGTATGCTTATATATCAGTAAACGGATCGATCCTAGCACTTGGAGTGTGTCGTACGTCTCTAAGGATATCATCCGCGTGCAAATTGTCAACCCCTACTCCAACAGAATGGTCAATATATTCAATGTATACAACGAGGTGGGAACCGACACACTGTCTACACTGACAGAAGCGATCAGAGCGTTGGACTCACCTGTCGAGACCATCGTGCTTGGGGACTTTAACCTGCACCACCCTCTCTGGTCAACAGCACATCGACGTGCAGGCAGCAGGCTAAATGCCGAAGGCCTTCTCACAATCATGGAAGAATTCCAACTGCACCTCCTCACGGAGCCCGGAACACCGACCCACCGCTGGAAGGATGGGGAGTCCACGATCGATCTAGCTTTCGCATCGGAAGATTTGGCAAATCATTTAATTCACTGCAGGATTGATAGGAAGCTGGACTGCGACTCCGACCACCTCCCGATCTCTCTAGCACTCGATTGGAGCTGGCAACCGGCGAACCCGACAAAGAAACGTTTATGGTCAAAGACGAATGTGGAAATTCTGCGGAGAACCGTTGAGGCACATCTACCCCGAACCAGTGGCACCCTGGAGCTGAGAGACAAGGATAGTATCGACAAATTCGTCTCCTCCATCATCAGCGCCCTGGATGCCGGCATCGAGGCATCAACCCCCTGGTCGAACCCGTCCCCACGCTCGATCGCAGGATTTAATCAGGAGTGCAAAGACCTATGCACTGAAGTCCAACAGCTTCGCCGAAGGTGGCAACGATCACGACAGGAAGAGGACTACGAAGCCTACCGGCAGGCGCGAAACAGGAAGGGCCGACTCATTCAAAAGATGCTCCGTAACACCCATCGACAGCGAGTTGAAGAGGCATCCGCATCGCAAACGGGTCTGTGGAACCTGGTAAAATGGGCCCGAAATAGGCACAACACAACCCCTGCATTCACACCGTCGCTCGTGAAACCGGATGGAGGAACCGTCCACCAACCGGAGGAGAAGGCGGAAGTGCTCCGCCAAACTTTTTTCCCGCCACCGCCCCAAGCAGACCTGTCGGATACGGACGATTATGAATACCCTCAACCCATCGAATGCCCGGCTATCACCGTGGCGGAGATAGAGAGGGCAGTGCGCAGAGCCTCCCCGAACAAGGCCCCCGGCGCTGACGGCATCAGCAACGGCACCCTTCATCAGACGCTTGACATCCTTCTTCCCAGCCTTCTCGAGCTCTTCAACGCGTGCCTCGAACAGGGCTATTGTCCCACACACTTCAAGGACACCATTACAGTAGTCCTTCGGAAACCCGGGAAAGATGACTATACGCACCCGAAGGCGTACCGGCCAATTGCCCTCCTCAACACGCTAGGTAAGGCCCTAGAAGCCATCATCGCGAACAGGTTGGCCTACATGGCCGATGTCCATAAGCTCCTCCCCAGCCGCCATACAGGAGGCCGGAAACTGGCATCAACCGAGCATGCCATGCATTTCCTCCTTCAGCGGATACACCAGGCATGGTCAGAGGGCAAGGTAGCCACCCTGCTCTTGCTGGACGTATCAGGAGCGTACGACAACGTCTCCCCGGAACGACTCATACACAACCTCCGGAAGCGTCGTGTCAGCGAAAAGATCATACGCTGGATTGCATCCTTTCTTAGCCACCGAACCACCACTCTCAAGCTGCAGGAATACACTGCCACCTCGACACCTATACAAACGGGGATTCCACAAGGGTCACCCGTCTCACCAATCTTGTACCTGTTTTACAATGCCGACCTTATCGAAGCATGTAAAACGAAAGATACAGAGGCGGTAGGTTACATCGACGACGTGTCAATCCTAGCGGTAGGCCCGACGTCACAGCGCAACTGCAAGACCCTGAAGGGAATCCACCGGAAGGCCGAACAGTGGGCAGTAAAGCATGGCTCCCAATTTGCACCGGCGAAGTACGAGCTTGTACACTTCACAAGAGATCCTAGGGCAAATAGCACACATGCCCTTCGCCTGCCTCACAACACGGTCAAGGCTTCCCCCTCGTGCCGTTACTTGGGCATTCATATGGATACCAAGCTACGGTGGGGAAACCACCGCGAAAAGCTAGAGACAGGCGCCACGCAACGGCTTTCGGCACTATCGGCCCTCGCATCCTCGACCTGGGGTACAGGGATGATCAACCTTCGGCAGGTATACAGAGCGATGATAATACCGCAGATGCTTTATGGGTGCTCCGCGTGGCACATCCCCGGAAACGATCATAATAGAGGTAGCGCCATGATCAAAGTCATCAGAAGAATCCAGAGACGAGCGGCCCAAATCATCACTGGGGCATTCCGAACAACCGCCGGGGCAGCAGCAGACGTAGAAGCACACCTGCTCCCGGCGCAACAGCAGCTCGAACAGACAGCGCTAGAAGCGACAATGCGCATAAGAACGTCCCCCCTATACGACGATATGGCTATAGTGGAGGGAAACGAACAGAGCCCCCTTGACCGATTCTCGAGCATGTTGGAACGCAAGTATGAGGTGCAACTTGATCGACTTGAGAAACGCCAACCGCACGTTGTGCCGCCATGGTGGACCCCCCCGGTTACTCGTATCAATGAGTCCGCCGAGGACGCGATCAAGGAGCACGATGCGACAGAGCCTGCAACAGTGTGCATTTATACTGATGGGAGTGGTATCGAAGGTCACGTCGGTGCAGCTGCTGTGGCACCCTCGCTCCGGGTTGGCGACATTTGCACAAAACGGACTCAGTACATGGGCGTGTCGAGCACGTCTACCGTTTATGCGGCAGAGCTCAAGGGCCTTGCGCTCGCTTTGAAGATAGTACTCGACATCCACGCAACAGGTACCCCTCCCGGGAAGTGTGCCATCTTCACCGACAACCAAGCCGCCATCCAGTCGATTAGGAACCCCAAGCACCCATCGGGCCAATATATTCTTGTCGAGGCCGTACGCGCGCTCGACAGTCTCCGACAGCTAGGATGGGAAATCGAGTTTCGCTGGATCCCAGCACATGTGGGAGTTCCAGGGAACGAAGAAGCCGACCGAGCGGCAAAGGAAGCCGCCGAACCCGCCCAAACCACCGAACAACCTGAACCGAGCCCGGTACGAACGTTGATAGCAATCACGAAAACCGCTATCCGCCAAACGATGGTACGCGAATGGGAGACATCGTGGGAAAACGCGAAAAATGGCAGAGATCTCTTTCGTCTCGGGATCCGGCCAGGGAAAGCAATCCTCGACACACACTTGAGAGCACATAGAGCAGTCAGCTCAGCAATCACACAGATGCGCACAGGCAAGATTGGCCTGCGAGCGTATCTTCACGCCATCAACAAGGCCGACACCGATAAATGTCAGTGCGGCTGCGGGCCGCAGACCGTACGACACGTCCTCCTGGAATGCCGAAACTGGATAGAGGAACGACACCGAATGTGGGCAGGCAAGTCTCCATGCGTAGACATCAAACGCATTCTCAGTAGCTCGTCAATGGCGGTGCAAGCAGCAAAGATGATCTTGAGGACGGGGCTTCTAGGACAATTCCAGTCGATCCCGTCCACGGTACTCCAATATCACTAGCATGCGAGTGCATAACCAGTATACAGAAGTTTAGGAAGGTCAGGAAAGGCCGGACAAGGCAGAGACACAGAACAGATAGAGAGACTATGTTGAAGGAAACCAACCAGAGCAGATAGGGAAGCAATTCGAGGAGGAATGGCTTACTCTCTGAAAGCGAAGGGCGGGACTCCTGTATTTATAGTTGTACGCTGCATAGCTGCCGATAGGGCGGCTGGGACAGTCTATGAATAAATCAATCAATCAATCAATGAAAATCAACTGAGGGCCTACGCCGACGAGGGCCTACGCCAACGAAGGCCTGCGCCGATGAAAATTAATTGAGGGCCTACGCCGACAAGGGCCTGCGCCAACGAGGGCCTGCGCCAATGAAGGCCTGCGCCAACGAAAATTAATTGAGGGCCTACGCCGACGAGGGCCTACACCAACGAAGGCCTGCGCCGATGAAAATTAATTGAGGGCCTACGCCGACAAGGGCCTGCGCCAACGAAAATTAACTGAAGGCCTGCGCCAATGAAGGCCTACGCCAATGAAAATCAACTGAGGGCCTACGCCAACGAGGGCCTGCGCCAATGAAAATTAACTGAGGGCCTGCGCCAATGAAGGCCGTGAATGCTCCAAAACCGTGGCCCTGCGCGTGCGTTGACATCACCTGCGTGAACACTTCGATCCCGCATAGCCGCCAATACCCTAAAACTGTGGCCCTGCGTGCGCGAACTACTCGCTGGCGCTTTTCCTCTCCTACACGTAGAGCTCATCGTTCTAGAGTGGTGGCTTCACGTGTACGACTTACCCGGTCATACCAAGATCAATCTCCATAGGTCGATCGGCCCGTTACTAAAGTGCGAAGATTATCGAACAGTGGCCAAATTTCCATCCAGCCAAGTGAAAGAAATGAGGATGAAAAGTCCCGGGTCGAGCATTCCATGATGTAGGGTGGGCAATAAAGTCTATTGGCTAAACATAAAATTACCCCCCACCGAATTTTTACTCACGTGCACTTCCTAGTACCAGGCGCCCCAGGTCCGGAGGCAAGAAAATTTCAGCCTGCAAGAGAGACCATAACGCAGGTAAACAAACCGTGGCATACCCATTACATCTACGAGGGCATAAAATCAATAATTATTTTATCATCTGTCCACCGAAACCTTTTGAATCACATTTTGCTCTTCTCTGCCAGAGGCTATTCTTTGGGTCTTCAGATAACTAAAACAGATTCAGAAACAAGATGACAGAGCTTTCAATATAGTGTGGGTAATGTAGCAGCGAATGGAATACGATGGTACGGTTAATTTCTGGTTCCCGTTTGAAGTGAATGTATCACCACTGTTTTAGAGTTGTATGGAAGAGTATGGTCATTGATAAGAACACACTGGCAAAGTCGGTGGTAGATAATACATTAGCTTTGGGCATGTAATACCAAAAAGGTGAGCTGGTCAAATAGGAAACAGAGGGGCAACACGGTCTACTTATCGGTGCGTGGTCAACGGACAACTACGGTACGTCGACCGTTGAACAGGGTGTTTTGTGGTTGAACATGGCCATTTTTGGATGCCCGCCGGGTTTTTCTCGTGTGCTGCAGGTGTAATATATTACGCAAGGTAATTTAGTAGGAATTACTTAAAGTCACGTACCAGAAATACATCATCATACCTTACTGGTGTAATCAACTATCCATTTGCGTTCATCGGCTTGTCCAAACCTTCTAGCTTCACCGGGTTTCTTTCACCCGACCGTGGCAATATATGCCCGCTCTGCGTTGATTAAAGCTTGATGTAAAGAACCAACCATTTTCTACACCTTTGATGTTCAATCGGATTATCACTTGATCATGCAGATAACCCAATATGCATAAGCAAGTAATAGGAATATTGTAAATGAACAGGAAAAGCCCATCGCCCAGTGTAGGTCAACAAGCAGCTAGAGATTTTCTAACTGCCCTCATTAAGTAACAAACACTTACCCAATTCTGCGCGGAACCCCTGTGGTATGCCTTATAGTTACCAGATGCCATAGTTTACAGGAAGTGAAACCGTGGTGTCCTTGGCTTATAGATTGCACTAATAAAAGGCTCTATGGGGCCTCCGAATAACGAGCCTACTCCATTTTCATTTGTGAGATATTGTGCCTACGCGACATCGATTTCCATCAAAGTCTTTGACCTCTTGTTTTCTGCTATAGGCCCTCTAGTTAGCAAAGAATGTCGACTTCACAAAAATCAGCTAAGAAATCCATCCGCCAGAAAACGGATCGGAGGAAGAAAGGCCTGATGAAGAAAGCATCCGAGTATAGTAAGCTCTGTGGAGCGGACGTTTTTGTCGGGATCAGGTTGAAAGGATCGAACCGACTCTATACCTTGCTTGCTGATACTTCGGGGTTCTGGTCTCCTTTGGTAACGCAATTTGTGAGTTTACGTGACCAGTAACTACTTCCAACCACTCACGATTGTAGGACTCGCATTACCCAACGCCCGTCCACCGAACAAATCAAGATTTTGATGTTGTCCCTAAAAGCAAGAAAACTACCCTTCAAGATTTCTCTGGCAAGGAGGCTGATACAACGAGAATATAAAGTGGTTCAGCGAATGATCCTGGCTTGCTTAGAATATATATTTGCCTTGGGTTGGTCTAATAGTTTTCGGAGTATAGTCTAAGAAAGTTCGCCATCTTATATATCCACTATATATTCAGTTGCCAAGATGGACTATAATTGCATATATTGAGATTTACTCTAAAGAGAGGCATATTGGCCCTTGTGATACCTAACGGCGCAATCTTGATATTTAACTGTTGTAGATTTGCTGATCTGTAACTCATAAAGCCGATTGGTACAATGGTTACTGAGCCCTATCAACATTTAATGAAGGCCCTAATGCTAGATTAGTAGTCGCAAGATTGGTAGTCCCAGGATCAGGCGTTCCCAGGATAGTCGTTCCCAGGATTATTCGTCCCAGGATTAGTCGTTCCCAGGATTAGTCGTCCCAGGATTAGTCGTTCCCAGGATTAGTCGTCCCATGATTATTTGGTTCCTGGGATAATGAAACCAGGGATTTCAAACTCCCCGGGAAAGGGGCATGGGAACCTCAAAATCCCAGGATTCCGGATACTCCAGGAAAATTTCCCCAGGATCTACACAAGTCCATTCTTCAAGAAAATAATGGCCGAAGGATAATATAAAAAGAGACGATGGTCACGAATCAACTTCCAAAGAATTACGGGGTTTGGTTATACACTAGAGAATTATGGACTATAAGTGGACAGCTAGTGCCAAAGTTGTTCGGACGAGGCACAACTATTTTGGCCAGTCTCAAGGTTTTCTTTCTACCGGAGAGCTAGGTACTTGCATCTATGCGACTGTCTAGAACTGATCATCTTGCAGAAAACCCTTTCTAGCAAAACTTGGCGACTGATGTAAGAGACGTTGTTCTTTGTGGGCAGCATCCCGAATAAGCTCTTCAAAGGGCCGAATCGCCCTGAGGGCTCGAACTGCAACCCTCCACGTTAGACATGACTCTCTTCCGTCCTGCTTATGAGCAAGCTCCCATTGAAGATACACATTCGAGCTTTTACCAGGGACCGCTACTCCCATCAAGTTGAGCGTTCCAGTCACCTTGGAGTAGTCCAACCAAAGTTTGTCTTCAGGACCGGGAACGCCGTGTGAAACGCTGAAGTTGTCCGAGTACCGAATATCCCCCGCCAAAATCCCTAAAAAGTCCCCCTTGTTAACCGAAATAATGGGACAAACCGAAAGGAAAATCTCGTCTTTGGGCAAAAGAGTAACAAAGATCGATTTATTCCTCATCCCCTCCGCTCCTGTATAGATGTCAAAGAAACCCCCAAGCTGGGCGGCCGCCGGCCCACAGGCCCCACTTGATTGGAACGCGGCTTCTTCCGCGTCGGAAAACCACGGGTTGTCCGCACTGTTCCAAGAAAGGTCCTGGACCTCCAACCTCTCCACCACATGCGGCTGACTCAGCCATAGTCTTCCCGTAAAATCCCCCTGGCTCTCCCGCGTGATTCGGTCTTCTAGTTGTTCAAAGTGTAGGCCGTACTTTTCTTCCCAGCTCCGAACCGTTTCTTCCAGCGAGACCTCACATTCTGGTTTATAATTCCTGCAGAAGTCGTCGAATTCTTTCGTACGATACAGGAGAAGTCGATCCACGCCAACTTTCCGCATCTCGGACAACCGCTTCCAGAGTATGCGACAAAGTCGCTTGTTTGCAAGGCTGAGTCCGTAACCTGCTTCCTTCATGAAAGCTTCAGTTGCAACCTTTTCAGCCATGGTGAATTCATCAAGGGGTCCCTTAGAGGTCGGCAGCTTCGCCGGATCCAGAAGGGCCGCACCTTTCTTGATGATCTCCCAATAAACGGTTTCGTTGTACTGAACTTGGATGTGCTTGCTCGCAAATAGAGCATTCTCTTTCTTGATGGCATAGATTGCTTCTGCGTACCCCAACTGAGCGAGCTGATTCACGCAGCCCCGAACCTTCTCGATGTTGGTTGTCACCATTCTCTCCTTTGTTTGGCGTCCGTATCTGCCAAGCGCATCATTGAGTCTCACACAGTTCACCAAGATGGTGTCCATGATCTTGATGAATAGATCCCGGTGTTTGTCGAGGCCATCCATAGGAGGCAAGGCCTCAAGAGAAGGGGAGGCTGGTACAGCTGCATACGCTTCATTATAGCCTTGCGCCTCCATAATTGGTGGTTGACTGCCCGGTTTATTTTCATATGTCCCCTGGATAGTCGCATGGTCTTTTGGGTGTTGTTTCTCGCCAGGGAGAGTAGAACCCTTCTGGTGCCTTTTGCGCTTGGTTTTCCTTTTCTGGGTCGTCTTATCCAACCCTGTGTAGTCTGCCCGACCTCGTTCCTCGGGATATGGTAGCAAACTGTACGATCCACGGAGTTTGTTTGTAATCGGCTGGGAGGTCGAACCATCACAGTTCGGCTTGGAGGCTGTTGGTATAACATTTATTCCGGCCTGGAACCTCATCTCGCGGACAAGGGTGTGTGTCAGCAGCCAGTGTTGTCGAAACATGTACGGCACTCACCAAAGTTCGAAATGCCGACAATATGTTGTCTGATTGGCTCATGATTAAGTTCATCGATTCCGCAGAGTATTAATATCTCGCGGATTTTCTGTGTAGTCAACGCCTGAATATCGTCTTCCATAGCTTGTACTGATCGTTTGATCTGGTTTCGTTCGAGTGTTCCCGTGGAATTGATTTAAGTCTTTCAGGATATTCCGTCACAGACTCGAGCGATTCTATTAGTGTCTATATTTTGTTCGCTCAGAGTGAGGCTAGTCCGCAATAGGCAATGAGCTTCCAAACATACCCACTAGCTCTAATGAGGACAAAAACGATGGTTTCGTCCTGCTCAACCAACAGACAAGCGGTGTTTTCACCGGTTATTGAAGATACTCTTCAAACACACGCCACCCCGTTTTATGTCTTTTATAGCCATCATACTTGGAGTCCCCGTTGAAGGGATTGGTACTGTACCTCAAAGATTGGGTGTTTATAACCAGGTAATCCCTTAATTCTCCCCGACCGACATTGTTTGCACGAATGGCCGCCTGTTTTAGCCATCAGGCCTCTAGTTGTAGTTAATATTCAACCGAGGTAATAGAAAGGAAATTGAGGTGGTCTATTAACCAACAATTATCGAACTAGCCCCCGGATATTGATGTCACAAGTTAAACACATGAACCGGATGAAATGACCGGAGCGTGCAAATCGAGGCTTCGTTGAACGGTGAACGGACCAGACAACCGCATTACGTCTTCGGGCGCTAATAGCCGGAATCACCTTGGCAAACCTCAGACTTGAAAACAGTAGAGCAAATGTTCAACCAGCATTAACACTTTCGTATGTCAGATATAGAGTTGACTTGTTGCTAAAGCTTCTCATACCCATCAAAATATTCTTCTAGACTACCGCTTCCATAGGAACCGAAGAAGGGAGAAAAGATCCCGCCATCTATGCGCAACTAATACGAGACGAGACAATATTACTATAGCAAAATAATGAAGTGTGTATGAAGCACGAAAGGAAAGTTGAACATCGTCCATAAACATGTTCAAGAGCGCAGGTTCGCTGGCCCAGTGGGGCAACCAGAACAAGCAAATTAAACGAAAGAAAAAATGAACAAAATAATCAACGAAGCGATAATGCCCGGATTCCACGGCACAGAGCCCGGGTTTCGGGGAAACGAGACTTCCTAATATTGTGCGGTCGCTCATGCTCTCGATGGCGTTCAATGACTAGTGACTCTCTGTGCTCGCCTTTTCTTTCTTCCTGAAGGTGGTGTAACGAGCTCGGTATATCTTGTATGTCTACGAGAGGTGAATACGGTGATTTGGAAACCTAATACAGTGGATGTGTAAATAATCGGTTAATTGACCGGGTACGCTAGATAGTTCACTACAGTATTTTCATTTGACCATTATCAATATGTTATCTAGTCATGAGTCAATATGATAAAGCTGCTGGGAAACTGTCGCGGACACGCTTTTCTATATGGTCTTATTGAACAGTGGACTACCATGGCAAACTAGGATATCCTCTGAACATGCAACCTAGCTTTTGGGAGTGCGTTTGCTCATAAAAGCCCAAATTGAGCTCCTACGGTTAGTCTCCGCCATCCTAAGAACTCGCCCAGATTACGCAGGAGCCAGATTACTCTGAGAACAGACATCGTTATCTCAAAATCCGGCCGGGTGATCCGATGAACTGAAAGTCTATTCTGTTAGTCTGTGCCACTATTAACGTCTCTTCCCCATCTCGTTTTGATCCTTTTAATCCTGCTGGAAATTATCAAAACCGTACCGGTTCTCCCTAGATAGATCCTTTTTCCGATCGCGTCCTTGCCCAGGCACACTTCCCATCTGTACGCAATTACATTCGTCTGCCTCCACTTTCTCGCCAGTATTCTTGTTCAGGAGCGTATAAACACCGTATCCGCCGAAACCAACCCCGGCATTGAAGGAAAGCACTATCCAGACTCCTGGACATCCATTCACAACGCAAAATGGTCCCTGTTATTGATTAGTATGTTTCTCTCGCTTATATATTATAACAGGCCTGGATTTAAGAGCTGAAGACTGACTGCCATATTTCTAATGACCTTTGCGGACTGCACGTGAGGAAAATAGCGGGAAGAAATCTTCGCGGTATGGTATAAATGCTTATGATTAGAGTGGGTTAGGAAGCACACAACCAGTGCGGCGCGGGGGTGATAAGAGAAGCCAGCGTAATCCACGTCGAGATCGCCGTCACAAAGCCAATAGACCGAAAGTGTTGGAAATTAGTTTCGGAAAACCCCTGTCATGGTGCATTTAATACTAACACAAACTCGTTCAAGAATTAATATTGGAGCAATTGTCCCAGCCACTTCAGCTGTAATACATCCATCAAAGCAATGTCCAATCTCCAAATATTGTCATTCCACCAAATCTCACCGGCGGCGGATTACCTATTTTAGGCTAGTTCCACTCCAAATAACCAAAATATAGACTCTAGAACCAGCTAACAAGGGGGCGCTGAAGCGCTTACTAAGTAAACTAACCCGATCAACTTAGGACCCTGCAAATTGCGTGAAAACATGATGTAACTATTTTCTACGGGCGAATTAAACGCGTTAACGCCAACAGTTGAAATTGATAGCGTTTGGGTTATGGAAGCCCAAGAGGGACATAGAATTAACACCTCGAAAATTTTCTGGCCGTGGTACGGACCTATTCTATTAGTAGCTGTTAAGGGTCTACACGAAGGGTCTACGCTATACTTACCCACGGGGGTATACTCTGAGGGTGATACCCGTGGGTATCTTGTGCCAAGCCGGAGAGAAGGACTGAAAAGGTTGGTTAGCCGAAACATTCTCCACCCCAATCGTGGGTTCGTGCATTTCCTAATACCTTAGCATCCCCCAGGTCTCTCGCAAGAAATTATTCCAACCCACCTAAGCTCTCCGCTATTTTCTGAGCCATCGGACTAGGCCAGAAAACCCAGATCTACAACACTTATGCTGACCTATTATTCATTGTGCTGTAAATAAATATATTACATGGAAGTGTAAAACCAGCTTCAGCGCCTTATACTCTCTATTTTATTATAGGCTTAGACGATAACTCCCACAGGTAGCTGAATATCTATACGCGGTACCTTTAGCCTCCTAAGAATGTTACCGATAGTTCTAGGAGCGGCTCGGACCTCCTAGCAGAATAAGATTCAATTTTAGATCCCCCGACCGGATTTTAAGATCTCTAAATATGTTAATATGTTCTTCAGAGTATTTGGTTCCTACGTAACACGGCTAAGTTTATAGGAGGATAAAGACTAGCCGTGGGAGCTTACTTTGAGTTGTCATGAGCGAAAACACCCTTAAGAGCTAAGCTATATTTGAAATGGGTCTTAGTTTGCTATGATGGCTTACTGAACAAACCATGTAAAAGAATGCGCCCGCGATTCTTGCCCGGTCGGCTTGTCATGTTTACTCCAGATTAGATAATATACTAGTAGTAGTCAATTGGAGATGCTGAATCGAACCGTTGGTCTTGTTGAACAGTAGTCCACCACGGCAAAGTAGGTTTTGCTTCGGGCATACCAACTAGCTCTTGAGGGTGCGTTCGTTATGAGAACCCGGTTTAAGCTCCTGCGGCTAGTCTCCACTATCCTAAGAACTCACCCAGATTATACCCAGATTATGCAGGAGCCAGATTACTCTGGAGAACAGATATGGTTATCTCAAAATCCGGTCGCGTGATCTGATAAACTGAAAGCCTCTCAATTGGGAGATTTGGGATATCCCCAGAATCAGTTACGTTCCTAGATGAGCCGCTTCTCTTCGACAAGCGTGGCCAACAAGTTCCAAAAATGGGATCATATTGGTGATTACAAGTACCGCGTACAAACATCCAACCGTCTGTTGGTGGACGACTCTTGCTAGCATGCTAGGGCCTCAAATAAACAGTCTCATAAACTTTCTGGTCGTGATTCAGACCTAGCAACTGTTAGTAGGGACCTAAATTGCCTATTACCTCTTATCCTACATACTCATACCTGAGTAAAAATGATCGTAGGCACTCAACTGCACGCTCAGGGGAGTTTTCCCGACGTATTTTTTCTGTCAATTGCATGATCTGATCGTAGGTTCCGTGCTGCATTAAAGAAACAATTTGCATGATCATATCATGAGACACCCTGGCATCATTTTGGATCTTCTCCCAGTACTCCTTACGACGCTTGTCTTCGTGAGGATTAAAGAGGCACTGGATGCCGGATTGGATGCATTCTTCACAAGACGGCGGCAAGCCGACACACAGCACATCCGTTAGTAAGATGGTCACGAAGTAGTTACCACGGAAAGGATTATGACCTTCACACGCTTAATTCGGCACGACGTACAGGCCATACCCCGGCGCCTCTGTGCCTTCTCAGGAAGACATGCACCTTGGACTGGCACTTCACTTTTTGCCGATGCCGGGAGCAAAGGGCGTAGAGGTTTTTCATTAATTGGAGCCATGCTGCAAGCGTAAATTTCACTGATCTGATAGAGTATTCAACCATGAAATCAAATCCATATTGAATTTCCTCATGGAGGCTCTCATATACTAGGGGAATGTTTGATAGTAGTGTATTGCATGGAACTATTTATTGACCTTCCTGCATGTTTGCCACAATATTTGACTCTGGTCGCACAGTGGGCTGCTGACGCCTCCTAAGCAAACAAAGAAAATACTCTCACATGACTTGGAACCAATCCTTGGCATGGACTCATGCTTTTGTTGGTTTGGATTCGGCGTGCCCTTTCGTGCGGTCTGGTCCCGTGCGCGAGAATTTGGAACAGCATGGAAGTTTGAGGAGATGCTAATGCTAGAGGCATCTAGTGCTACGATGTTCCAATTCTCGGGTCCTGCGATCAGATCTTGATATGTTCTCCGGAGTACTTTGATTCCTGTGTAAGATGGGTAAGTTCTCAAGATGATAGAGACTAGCCGTGGGAGCTCAATTTCAGTTGTTATGAGCGAAAACACCTCCAAGAGCTGAGCTCTATGCTCGAAACGGGTCTTAGTTTGCTATGGTGGTTTACTGAAGAAACTACGTAAAAAATGCGCGTGGAGCTTCTAGCCACATCTAGTTAGGTGTTTGCGGACTTGCTTACAATTAGGATGTCCGTTATGCTGTGTCTTTAGGGCGCCGGCATACGGACGGGACTCTTGCTTCGCCGTTGATGCAGATTAACTGCGCCGCCGGAGCGGATTTTAAGCACCTATAGTGATAAAATGTTGGTTCGCCTTGTGTCGCCATCCAGAGTTGAAACAGTAACGGCCAGACGGGGCTTTAGATGAGGACCCGAGGTTTTTTGACGATGTCCCTGATAACAAAGTGGAGGTTATACACGGCACAGAAAAGACGCAGGTTTACTGGCAAAACAGCTATGTTACGGTTTCGGAAACCGACAACGCCGGAAAAGAAAGAAAAACGCGTATAACTGAGACCAATTCTGGCAAAGGAATGCTGAAGCCAGGCATTACTTTGTATATCACTTCAAAGTCAAAATCTTGGAAACTTAAATATATAGCTTCTTGGCCAACTCAACAGCGCGCAAGGGATCCAGGAAGATCTCAAATATCGCACCCTCTCCTTTGATAGTCATCGCCACGTTCTCAGTTGGCTCTTCTGCCGAGCCCTCTTCTGGGTTGAAACCCATCAACAATGCTCATTGGCGGCAAATTGCCTGTTTTAGGTTAGTACCTCTCCGAATAACCGAGATAAAAACGCTAGAACCAGCTAACACGAGATTTGGTAACACTGTCCCTGTCCCTTTGTTGTGCCATTAGGCGGTGTGACACCGGATGGAACTCTTGCTTCCCCGTCGTGGCCGACACTGATGACGTGTACCACTTGTGGTGCCAGTACGATGGCAGCGGGCTGCCCTGTTGACGGAGATCGCTCATAGGTGGGTAGTATTTAATTAATTTCTCGATGAGTTTATGTGATGTGATGGAGCTGCATGATTGATACGGGGCCGAGGGAGGTATCAGGACTAATGATTGGTTAAATCTTTGTCCCTGACTCGAAAGGTCACTGATACCGCCTGTGGCACTTAGCGCGCGGGGAAGGTGGGTGCAGGAATTGAGGTCTAAATTTGCGGGGTTTGATTTACTAGATCTTACCAAAGGAATACGGAAATTGACCTGGCGCTATCTTGTCTTGCAAAGTTGACATTGAAAATGACGATTGGACATAGTGTAAGCACGGAATGAAAAGTTGATTCTGCTGTAATGCCTAAAGGTAATCATATACTAGTGCCTATAAATTTATGGTTGTGACGCGAAATATGGGATTTTCCTGAGTGCCATAGCTTCGCTCTAAGAAATTTGGTTCCAAGTTGATGGAGTGCCACCTATTACGGCCGGGTGACCTCGGCGTTTGAACACTCAAACCTGGTAGCCCTCAGATGATGAGAGCTAAGGGCTGTGAGGGGCCAGTGCGGCTAAAGGGCCTATAAATGTAGTGTCGCGTTCCTCAAAAGGAAAGATGAGTCTAATCAGAATCTTCCAACAGCGAAAAGGCCTCATCTCTGAACTTGCTTATAGCACTGAGCATCATGCCAAGGAGACGTCCTCAGCCACCGACCCCACCAGATCTTCCCATCCCACCAGATGGTGCCTCAAAGAAACCATATTACGTCGCAGGCGATCCAGTCTGGTACTGCCGTGAGGGTAGTAAGTCATATTGATATCTTCGTTAAAATTGAGCCATCACCTAAGCTATCGCAGAAACCGAATGGCGTGAAGGTACAATCGATTCAAGCACATCAAGCACTATATTACAAGCAGTGATACCCCCCTTCTCCCCCCACCTCTTCCGGGCGATTTTTCGTATGTCTGCTAACTTTGAAAAGGTGAAAGATGACGACACCAATGATCTGTGGGAAGTTCCGGTCGAGCGTATTCGCCTGAGAGAATGATATAGGTAGAAAAATCAAGACATGCCTTCCCAGTCCTGGATGAATTGTTGGATCCATTTCCATAATTTGGATGATGCGACAAACATATTTTTCCGGAGTCTCGGCGAGTTATTAACGGTATACTGTGTTTTCCACTCGGACATGAGCGTCAGTTTCTTGGCTATTGTTTTTCTGAGCTCCTTATTTCGAAAATAATCGTCCTCATCCTTTTTGATTTTCGAAAGTGGCTCGTCCTCCATTTGAACCTCGCCATAGAGCCGAATGTAGTGAGCCGAACGGCGGCGTTGTAAGAAGTGTTGTTCCAGGTCCGCTTCAGGACCATGTGCAAAGTGCCATACAGTAGCGAAGAAATGATAATCACCAATGGAATCTAGATTGAGAAGTCGACTCAATCTCCAGGCTATTTGGCTCTGCTCAAGCGATTCGCGGTATCTGTGGATCAACTTCCTTTCCATAAATCCGGGCATAGAAGCAACAAAACCACTTATGAAGGACGCACGTAACTCTGAGCTGATTTCGTCGCCGTATTGTGGCAGCCCTGGTGTGGCTAACAGCATAGATTCAGGAATGGACGAAGCGAATGCCCAATCGATGATACAGGTAATGTTGTACTCATCGTCAACATAAATATTGTTAACACTCAAGTCGGCATGGCACATCGGAAAAGTGTCCCGATTAACAGCTGGCAGCTGAATTCTCCGTACAATATCACGGAGAGCGTCGCCTGCAATTATATAATCTAGTCTGTTATCCGACGAATCAGTCTTGCGTCCGATTGTCACAAAGTCGTTCCATAAATTCACAGCACTCTTGAATTGCGTGCTGGATGTATAGTCATCGTGCGAGGGAACAGGAGCCACAAAACAGTGATGTGATAGCTGCAGAATTTCCGAATGCTCCAAAAACGCCGAAATAAGGCCATCATAGAACTCTGATGCAGAAGTGAAAGGACCACGTGGGACCTCCAAAGCGTATCGTCCATGTAACATGTGGCCGCGAGAGAGACATTCCTTGATTACAAAGGACCCATTTTCTTCGAAGAGTGAGCCGATTTTATCGAACCGTAGCTGCGAAAGTTTCCAGGTGATATCGCCCAATTGAGCAAGTATTTTGGCCTTGCTGGGTATATCTAAGTCAGGCTGAGGGGAGCCGGCTGGTTTCCAAACCTTTGACAGTGGCCAGCCGGGCGCTTCACTCATAAAAATGAACGGAACTCCGATGCTGTTATCGGATGAAGCGCTATAGTAGGTTAGAGCTAGAACAGTATGATTTGAAAGAAGTACTTACCAATAGTCGTGTACTTCTGGAACTGGAATGTCGCTATGAGCCCTGAGATATCGGAGCACGGCAGCTTCACTTGCCAGTAGCTTCATGCCCATTTCTATTGGCATGAATGTTCTGGGATGAGGGGATCTAAAAACCCATCGTACGCCGTCTTCGAATAAAATAAAGACAGCCCAGTTGAAACTTCCGGAGGCAGGACGTTGATCTGGATCACAAACACATGAAACACCCTGCCGCAGTCTGCTCGCTTGACGGCACAATGCTTGAAGGTCAAAGTCGGCGTAAATGAATATGTCCGGCTTTAGATTTGGAGACATTCTGATAGGATGGGATTCGGGAGGAGAGGGGAAATAGGGTCAAAAGGAGTACAGATCAGTTGAGCTTCACGGGCGGAAATTGAGCACTTCTAGGGATGGATGTTGGTTCGTCTTGTATTGCCACCCATAGGTAGGTAAAGCGGTAACAGTCAGCTTTCGGATAATTGGATGGAATGTCGAAACGCGCCGCAGGTCGCGTTTACCCAACAATGGGCTCACCTAGCAATCGACGTGTGCCTCAGGCTTAAATCCCCTTTCCGTTTCCCATGACCCTAGCCAGTGAGGAACTCAATAAGGTACCTTTGTTCCCATAATGAACCCACATGAAGTGGCTTGTGCTTTACTACGCGGTCACTTTAGGTTTGGTGTCCAATCAATCCGGTCGCATGCCGTCCGTTAAGGGCGGGATCGGTCAACTCGCCGACACAAAAATTTCTAGCGCCTATTGGTCATTCCTGATTGGCACAAAGTTACTTGGCAAGGAGCGGGGAAGTTCGCGGTAGCATTCCATGCATGTCCTTTAGGGAAAATGAAGTGCCGGCTGAGAGATCCCGGAGTACTATGTTTTCTGAATCGTTCTATTGCTGGGAGCTTGGCATTTGAAACACATAGAAAGCAGATGGTTGGTCTTTCATCCGGAGATTTGAACAGACTAACGAAATCGCCGATTGAAGCTCTGTTTCGTTCTCAACCACCAAACAACGGTTCTTGTCGCTTTGAAGGGGGCGTAGATGGCGGTGCACCGTCGGCGCGCCGTTTTTGGGAAACGTTCGGTCGTTTAGTAGGCGACCCCTCTTCCACGTCACAGAAAGCGATAACCGCATTGATCGCGGAGATTCGACGCTGATATTCCTGCTCGACAGTAGAACTGGGCATGGTGAGAATAGTATCGATCAAGAGCATATGCTGGGGAGGCATATACCCGGTTCGCTCTTGCGCGCTCATTACTTTTTCGTCCACCAATTTTCCAGGGAGTTACCGCTCACTGTCGATTACTATAGGGACGAGGGCAAGATATGGGGATGCTAAGTCCTAGATGAACTTCTATTTACCCGATCGTGGCAATTTTTGTGCGCTTTACGTTGGTATATTAGGCCATGCAGGTGATCGAATATATTTTCAATTCTATATCATCTCATTGAATTATTACTTAACATGCAGACTACGCAGTGTGCATCAACCGATACATAGTGAAGATAATCTCCCTAATATTTGCTTCTAAGTTCAAACCACAGCTAACTAAAAACAAGCGCTTCCGAAACCCCGTCAAAGAGATATAATTCAGTATAGGCTTGACGTCCACGGTTGGCGGGTCGTGGATTGTCTCCCGATAAAAACTCCCAGTCAGTCCCTTCAGGTTTGCTCAGCAGCCGAGTTTGTCCCTGCTTGGCTTGGAAGACCTGAGGGGATGTCACCATGAGCGGATAGCCCTCCACCACCAGTACACTTGAATAAGGCTGCTGGAACACTGACGGTGCGTAGCCGAGACCACCCTGTCTGTATCGCTGCAGCATGAACTGCTGCAGACACTCTTGCTGAACATGCTGCACTTCTGGCGGCAATATGGCGTGCCCACTATAGACGGCAATTGTTGAAGCCTCTTGCGCACCTGCCATTGCTATCGGTACATTCTGATGTTCGTGGAAATCTTTAATTTGCGTGGATAAATGATAATAGTCAGGTTGCTGGGGGGCGGCATTTGAAACGGACGTATTGATGGAAGGCTGGTATAGTTCCTCGGATATTGGTTTCTCTGACGGTGGCCGGGTCACAGTCCCCCGTGGGTGCGTACGGTGCTGATGTTTGGCCAGGGACTCTTTGCGACAAAAGCTGGTTTGGGGAACGAATTAGAAAGGCATAGTTCTCTGGCGAAACGAGGATAGTCCTGATCTCACTTTCGCTCACAGTTTGGCTCTTTGCATACGTAGGGGTGCCTGCGAGAGTGGATTCTGCGATGGCGTGCAAGACTGGATGACTGAAGGGCGAAGTCAGCAAGGGGATTGAAAGCTCAAAATGGGAATCCATCGCACGTCAGAAAATGCTCTGTGGCACCCTTTATGGTCGCAGATGTGGGGCTTTTCCCCAGTATGTGTCCGCGAGTGAACGGTCAATGCGCTTCGTTGAATGAAGCTTTTGTTGCAGTCCTTGACCGTGCAATGATATGGCCGTTCATTGGTGTGCACTCGATAATGTCTGCAGAGATCCGATTTGCGACTGAACGACTATCAATTTAGATAATATTAGTGGATGAGAACAATGCTCTTCAAGGACCCTTATTACCTTTCCACAATGTTCCCAAGAGCAGTTGAATTCGCGTGCATTGCCAGGCGCCATGGCCGCGACAATCGCGCGTGGATATCAGTAGTATTAATAATAAAGAACTAAAGTTAGGACCCACGACCGTAGGCGGGGAGGAATCTAACGGGAGGTTGGAAGGATACTGAGAGGAGGGGAGGCCGTTGAAGGGGTCCGGGATGAAAGGAAAAATACCGCGCAAGTTTAGAAAAGATAAACCAAGGGATGAGAGTAAGGCAGCACGGAAGGGATCCCTCGTACAGCCTCGTCGTGATATTATTTTTCTGACACAGGGTCGGAATGACAAAAGTAACGACAAAATCTAGGATTCGAAGGGGAAAGCATAAACAGCTGCTGACTCCGAATCCTCCTTCCTGACCTATCGAGCCTCTTGTGACTGGCTGGCCCAGATCTCCGATGATTGGCGAGGCTGCATGTCTCGGACTAGTTCGCCTACGGTGGCTTTCATTTTTCCTTCTGATGTTGATTTCCTTGTTTTCGGATCCGTCTTCTCATTTAATTTCCATACCGACCCCTTCCCTAACACAAATTGTCGCTCTACTTGGTCTCTACCTATTTCATCATCGCCACTGCCATGTAGAATAACAGAGTATATAATGTTTCTTTTCAGTTTACCTTTGCATCTGTGGTTCTTCTGAGCTACGGAACATTTTCTTATTGATATATGATCATTTACGTACCCCATGTTAAAAGAGAAAACACCCTCTGGCAGTTCAAACCCGACTTCCGGTATGTTTAACAGACTACCCGGGAACCGGCGTCTCCCCAAACGGATACGTCACATCTAGGCGGACATGTGGCTTATCCATACCTGACTGGGCGAATGTATCTAACGCCGGACCATAGCATGGAAGACGGTGTTTTGGCACTAAAGCTTGGAAACGTGGAAAAGAGTATCTCCTCGGATAGATGGCTATATAGCTGTTTCCCGGAAAGTCAGAAAAGTGGCAGTCCACTGCAAATAGTGGTATACCTGCTTCACCGGTGCGCCCAAAGCCAGCCATATACTAGCCCTTCGCGAACATTTAGGAAAAGGGTTGCGTAATACTGCGGGTTGTGTAGTTCTGCTGCTTTTCCCTGAAGGCTGAACCGAAGGGTTGGTGCTACCCGGTTTTGCGGCCAGGCGGCCAAGGCGTGGTGATTGCTTTTGGGCGGGTCTCATAGAGCTCATATCGGCCATGATATTTGACTCACCATTCGAAGTATTGGCGTGGTTCAAGGATATTTGCAGACGGGGCCTGGTAGCTGTTTGACAACGGTAATTACACGATGACTCGACAGTCCGCCGTTGAAAGTAGCCCAAATCCCACTCTGAACTGACCAACCTTTGTCAAACTTCTTTCATACGTTCTTTCGATATTATCAGTCGTGTAAATGTGGTTCTGCTACAGATTCAGTACAGTAGAGATTGAAATCTTCCCCTGAACATAAATGGTCCGGGCTAATGCTTGTACCGCGGTCTACGCCATACGCCTGCTGTCTGTAAGTAAAATACAAGTCCACTCCCTCTGATATACTATCATTAAACGACGCTGGGGTTTGGATAACGTGAAAGCGAACTCTGGAATCAGGCGGCCGGGTAATAAACTTACACACTGTTGTATGTGTGACAAGGATTTGCTTGGCAGAGCACTTATGGGGTGTGCCCGCTCACGGCTAGGGGGTAAAACCTTTTCACTGGAAGAGTCAAGACGCTCACGGAACAAGCGGTAATGTTGTGAAGACATAAGCCGCGTTTATTCCGGCTAACAGCGAACATAGCTGACGTATTTCCGAGAAACAATTTACACTCAATCATTAAAAGGTGCCGTGAGCGAGTATTCAGCCGTCTGTTGATGTTATCCGACCAAGGGACGGTCGGCTACCTACCTACGCCCGATTCGAGCAAACAGTTCATCCTCTAAGCACCGGCTTCATCACCAACAGGATTGCTGGCCGAGAATCTCACAGCAAGTTATAAACACTGAACCTCCAAATCGATAATCATTTTGACAATTCAAGTTACTTCTCCGAATGCAAACTGTGAGCACATCATCTGTGGCGGTAAAGCGGCCCAACACCTATCCTAGTGTAATGATATTTGCTCTGGAACATAGCTGACCCAAACGATGCTTAGCCCATTGAACGTACACTAATAACCTGCAACGCATGATGACTGGTTTAAGCAATATGCCTAAGGAGGTACACCTCATCATGCTGGGTTTCTTAGACAGAATAGGCCTATATAGCATGTGCCTTGTATCCCAAGATTTCTGCGCCCTGTCACAATCTCTTCTCTACCGTGAAATAGGCTTCAGTGACTCTGATATAAACCGTTATTCGGTGATGGTTCTCTCCCTTATCCACGCGATCATTCGCCGTCCGCATCTAGCACAGTATATTAGGTGTCTAGATATCGAACTTGACACTGAGCGAACAGAAGAAATCTCATTAATGATGGCTGACGCCGAGCAAACGCGCAACCTAAGTGACCTGTTTGCAGAGGATGTCCTAGGGTCAATCGAGAACCTCTTGATTGAAAGGCTGAACAGAGGCTTTTTTTGCAGCAAGCTTTCTGTTGTTCCTATTATTCTAATATCTTGTCTGTCAAATCTCCAATCTTTACGCATTACTCTCGATGAGCACAACTTGCCGCTCTTAATTACACTTGCCCAGAAGAGTTGGGTCGCTCGCCAGGGATATCCCTTAAACAGACTTCGGTCCCTGACAGTTTCCTATGTTGAGAGCAAATGGAGTACTAAAATGAGCTTTCGAGACATTTCGCCTTTATTCGTGTTACCTCAGCTCGAAGAACTCCGGGTTGCCGGCTGCACCGATTCCGGTTTACGAAGTACACTACAATCGCCTTCCCCCAATCTACGACCCAGGACACCCTCAATCTCGTTTATTGGTTTTGCAGAAAGCTATCTGAATTCGGAAAGTATCCAATGGATGCTCACTACATGTGAAGCTCTCAAAGGATTCTCCTTTAAAAATAGTTCATGCAAACACTATCCGGCTTGCACCGGGGACTTATTGTCAGCTTTACATCGGCAGCGGCACAATATACAGGATATGCGGGTATCATGTACCTGCGGAGACTTTCGCACGAGTGGTACAATTGAGAACCCAATTTCCTTCCACGGCTACGCTCAACTAAAGTTATTGAGTCTCGACCAAATTCAAATCAGTCCCCAAACCTTACTCCCATGCTCTCTGGAACATCTTATGATCCAAAATTGCCGGATGCCAATATTCCATCAAGTCGCTAGAATTGTGTCACCATCTGAAACCACAATAAACTCGCTCAAAATAATCTCACTCTACACTGACGCACTGTTCCCTGGGAAAATGCTTGATCTTCCAGGTGTGGGGGCGACCACTGTGCTTCTTCAGCAGGGCCAGGAGCGACTGTACAGATTGGTGCAAGGAACAGACATAGACATACGCTTTGAGTATGCGCTACTAGAGAAAATTGCATCTGACTATTCCTTCGCTGCTGAATACGGATCGCCAGGTCAATACGGGCCATTGATTCGCCTACATTAACTGCCTTAAGACAAGTTCTCAGTAGGTAGCGACTGCTGCCGCGAAACGGGATAGGGCCAATGAACAAACCCTTTTTGGTGTTATGGTATGATTGTGATTTTAAATTACTAAGGGCGATATAGAATTAACCCCTTAAAAATTTTCTGCCCGTGGTACAGACCTATTCACTGTTAGTAAAGAGCCCCAAATTGCCTACGCTGTTAAGGGTCTACACGAAGGGACTACGCTATACTTACCCACGGGGGTATACCCAGAGGGTAATACCCGTGGGTATCTAGTGCCAAGCCGGAGAGAAGGACTAAAAAAGTTGGCTAACCGAAACATTCTCCACCCAATCGTAGGTTCGTGCATTTCCTAATACCTTAGCATCCCCCGCAAGAAATTATTCCAACCCATCTAAACTCTCCGCTATTTTCTGAGCCACCAGACTATATCAGAAACCGAACCTATAACAGTTATGTTGTCCTATTGTTATTGTGCTTCTACTTCGACGGATTGTATAGACAAACGACCGGGGCCTATTGTGTGACGTCAAATTACCCATTTCGAGTGCCTACAGCGTTCTCAGTGGCCTGCTGGACCGGGGGACTGGTATGGGGGTTCGCGACAGGGCCGTTGAATACGAGAAACCGGGTGTCTATACCTGGTTATTGCGAACGAGACAATTGCCACCGAGAGAGAAAAATGGCAATATACAGAAATGCTTCATTATGACGAATGCTGGCTAATATACAAGATGACCAAAACAGCAAACGATGGCAACCCGCTAGGCTATAAAGCAGGCCCTCCGCCATAGTTCAACAACTCCTCGAATAACCCTTCATCGATGACACTGTCCATGCTGGCGTCAGTACTGACGCTCAGCACCGAGTCTCGACGCGTTCGGTCCGTTTCGCAACTGGCGACCGGCAAGGTACTGCTACCAGCATCCTCATCGATTGATGGCACGGACGAGGAGGCAGAGGCAGATGCCTCCCACGGCGCAGGACCCGACCGGGCCAGGATGGGCGACTTTGCGACCGTTAAGTTCTTGACCATACCAGCCAGATGATTCTGGATAGCCGGATGGGCGCACTGCGAGTGGCGCAGCAACTCATTCTTCAATCCTAGCACCTCCCCCTGTAGCTGAGCGAACTCGGACTCCAGAGCGTGTTTCCGCCGCGCGACGTCCTCGTACTGCTCCTGCAGCTTCTTGGTGAACTCGCGCTTCCTCTCGCGGCATCTGGTAGCGGCGCGACGGTTGCGCGCCAGGAAATTCTCGCGCTTCTCACGATCCGCCTGCTCTCGGGCTTCCCTCGGCGCGGGTGGGGCGGCGTGCCGAATAGAGTAGTTGTTTCGTCGTTTCCGGACCTGCGAGGTCGGTGGAGACGGCGGGGGGTTTTGTTTCTGAGTCCCCGCCTGGTTTGGGCTCTGGGTTTCCGGCGAAGAGGAAGCATTGGCAGTCGGGGGCTGGAATAGGAGGGCGTTGATGTTGAGCCAGGACTCGTCCGTTAGGTACGGGAGGAGTGAGAGCGAGGGCGAGTTCAGCGCTGCGAAGGGAGGAAGGGAGTTCGTAGGTGTCGGATTCGACAAGGAGGAGAGATCGGTCGATTGAGGAGGGAGTAAGGTGACCTCGGCGGACATGATTGAGTACTTGATTGACTAACTAATGGCTGACGAGAATGGTGGAGGCCCATTTTATTAAGAGCGTTGAGTCGAGTCGATGCGTTGACCATCTGAAAGAAGAAGAATCCGAATCGCGATAATATATACTACTACGGGTGCGACCGGGCAAACAGCTGGAGCAGGTTCATCGCCAGTCGAGGAAGATCCAGGCAGGATGGGAGGTTAAAACTGGGATACCATCATGCTCGTCCCGGAAAGTCCACGAAGGTTCCAGAGTTGTCAGACAGAATGCATTGATGCATCAATCTATAAATGCATGATGTAAGAGATGTCAGATTGATGGCGTGATAGGGACGGAAAAGTCTCAGTACGACGCACCGTCGAGTCTCGAGTCTCAAGGCTGGATGGGCCACGAAGACCCACGGATTGTGTTATCGATGGGGCCAAGCAGACTTGATGATTGGCGGAGTCAACATTCTGAAGTCAGACTGACGGACTCCATTCTCAGTCGTTTCAGACTTCAGGTTACACATCGCTCGGCTGGACAAGTGACCTGAGTACCTTGTAGACCGGTTTGTTTGTCAGAGGGTTCAAAGTACTTTTGGAGGAGTACTTGTTCCAAGATTCAACGAGATTCCGCCAAGCTGATGCCGATCGCGCCCCGTCTCACGCAAAGTACTTGGTGGTGTGGATGTTTTCATTGGAACTCAACGGCCGCGTTGCCTCCAAAGGATGAACCTTTTTTGACGTGGGTGGCTCTCGACTACACAGAGTTGGGGCGACGGCCTGGGGCATCCACTCCAGCTGATCCCTCTTCACACGACTCCATTCGGCATTTTTATCCAGCCAATGTGCGTGGACAATGAAATCAGGGAAGTGACCGGAGTGGAGATGATTATCATCCATTTGATGGATTGAACTATCGACTTGACTAAGGAGTTGACCAGGGTGGGTGGTGGTAGGAGTATATCGGGGAGTATACTAGGAACTAGAAAATGGTAGTAGAGTACGAATTCCTAAGGAGTCATTTCTCGACCAGTGGATTCATATGGACGGATAGTAGGTATAAAAGCATTAACAACCAACTACTCTACTCCATACGGCCCGTATCCAGTAGATAATGCACCGCTCACCAGTATTCTTGTTCCGCCACGACAGCATCGTCCAGCACGCCTAATTGAGCCAGGATCTCGTGCGTTAAGGATTTATTCCCCGGTAGCTGCGTCGGGCACAACCAGTTGCGGCCCTCGTGCACTCGTCGATACAATCCTCGATGTCCCTTCACTAGACTCTGAATGCGCTTGCTCTTACCTCTTCGCAAACGTAAGAGGTCTTGGTGCGCCGTTTAGGTCTAGACTAGCATGGAAGTTTCGCCGCGCGACAATGTTGACAGGGCTTGATGCTGTCGCACTGCGAGAATTAGCACGGGTTCTTTCTGAATGAAAAGTATATCCGTTGAATAGATCTGGGGAGTACGTACCTTAACCTTCCTCTCCCGACACTCGTCGCACAGCCGCCTGCACGAGGGGACGGGAGGCCCGTTTCTGGTGCTGCCCCGGAGTGTAATGTAGACGCTTCATGATGGAGGACTTGCCAAAGGGAGTCAGGTATGGAAGACAGGCAATCATTTGCTTGGGATAGGTACTATTTCCGTGTGTTGCCACCTTTCCCCGCGCCAACAGCCTAACGAAGTACTACGATCGACCGGTTCCACCGGCTCTATTTCGTGGTCACTTCATTATTCAACCACTTTCGTCGTGATATCATCCTCGCATCACTTGATACACTCTTTTTATCTTCCCGTCCAGAGGCCTGCCATCTATTCCAATTCGCTTGCTCGGTCCCTTCAGGTACTCAAGACTACTGAGTATATGCCTCGAGTCACCGTGGCGACTCCACCCGCCCTCTGTGCGAGGAATACATACTCCGTACTCTGCCCGTTGGGTCTAGTTCCTACTGGCCTAGCGCTTATTATATTTCAACTTTTCGAGTGGGGATCCGTTTCAACGTGCATCCACTTCGTACTTCTGGCTAATATTCCAATTGACCAATCGTGCCCGCACGGAATCATGATGCAACGTGGGTCGCTGCGGATCTCGCTTTTGGACCTGCTCTGGAAATAGATAAAGCCGCCAGGCGCACAATGCGCTGCTGAAGGACACTGAAGAGCCCCGAAGGAAAAGAAAAAACACACTGAAATAAAAAACACACTGAAATAAAAAACGAAAAAAAATTTCAATAGTCCATCATGTTCCACAAAAGGTAAGTACTCCGTAGTTTTGGTTCATTTCCCGCGAACGGTGCTGACCTGGTTCGTTTGATTCTCCAGGAGCGCTCACAAGCCCAGCGATGCTTTTGTTCGCGATTTTCAGCGCAAGTTCTCCGGGGTCACCGCCACTCCCTACACCACGGGTGCCGGCATCGTGCCCGACCAGCTCATGGGCGTAGGAGATCTGCCGGGTCTAGTGACCAATCCGACCCTCCTGCCGAGTCCCCAATACTCGTCGTCTCCGCCCGGTCGGCATAATTGTTCTTGTGGCGCCTTCAATGATCAGATGTGTATGGTGCTGCCTGATCAACCGGTCGACGCATCTCTCCCCCAGGCTCTACCATGCAATGTCGGCGCCCAGCCGTTGCTGCTGGCCCCTGCGCATAGCCTGCCGCAGGACCCGTGCGGGCTCCAAGGGGCGGCACTTCAGTACCAGGACCACCTTAGCGATTTCTCCGATCTGCCTGCTCAGGAATCGCGAGAGATTTCGCCGCCGGATTCACAAGTCGAGCACTCGGGTACGATGGACGAGACGCAGTCCGTGTACGATGGCCACCACCCTCTCCGATTTCAGGTTACCCTACACGCACCTACAGCTACCTACAACCCTACCCGCCAGACCCCTGTTACGTATCTCAATCGTCGTCAGGGGTACAAGATCTCCATTATCGACACGGCACCGCCAGTTACACTTCCCCACCCGGTGCGATACCGCACACATTTTCGAATCGGATTTGACAATAACAACCAACGAGCTGACCCCGTGGCTGCCTGGAAGCTGTGGCGAGACAATCGCGGACTAAACGAGGCCAGGCGGAGCGACGGGCAGCTGCGAGCCGTAGAGTTTGTCGATGTAATGTCGAACGTCATCCGTGGCCGGCCAGCGGGGTCTCAGGTAACCCTGGAACACTTGTCGGTGGACGGCTTCAGCATCGTGTGGCTGGCCGACCCGCAATCGGGCCACGCCGGATGCGAGGCTTACATTCTTTTCAATTTCCTCTCCACCGACTTTACTTTGTCCAAGGGGGTCCAAGGGGCGCCGCTCCGACTATATGCGAAGACGGAGTTAATCGCGCCCGAGGCCTCTCCGCAGCCTCTGCTGTCGACGGCGGAGATCTGCTACTGCCGAGTAAAACTATTTCGCGATCACGGGTCTGAGAGGAAGCTATCGAATGACGCCGTCCAACTTAATAAGGCCATCAACAAGGTTCGCCAGCGGCTCGGTGACCTCGAGTCGAGCAAAGGCCGATTGAACCCCAGGAAAAGGAAACGGGGAAAGCCTCCGGCGGCAGCACGACAACAATTAGAACCCTTCCTGGCCATGACCCATGAATTCTCCGCCCGCGACGAGCTCCAAACAGTGGTCTCCGACTTGGAAGCCGTACTGTCGTCGTCCCGACCGCGAAGTATGCTGTCGCTACGTGGTGACGCCCAAGATGACCCCGATCGGTTCCCCATCGTGCTATCGAATCCTTTGGAAGGCTCGGCCGGTGTCGACGAGCAGCTGGTGAAACGTGGCGTCAGGGAAGCAACGGGGTCTTCCTCGCCCATGAGCAATCGTACACAGGACCATAACCATGCCGGTGAGTAGCAAATCCAATACAGATGGTGAATTCAGTCTTAACGCGATCATCCGTTCTAGTTGCGTGCTTTTACATTCTTCGGCGCATCGACGGACAGGTTGAGGATTACTACCATGCGCTATATCTCAACGAACGGACCCTGTCGGACTTACTTCGCCGCCTCTCCCAGATATATCAAACAGAATCCAGTAATATTAGCTATGCGATTCGCGTCAATGCGGGCGGCCTCCGTATCGTGATCGACGACGATGTCGTTAGAGAAATTCCTCAAGGCCAGGATATGATTGCAGAATGCTCGCAAGACGATGGCGCCGCTAGGTCATCCCCGCGGTTCCGAGTCACCTTGTTTTTTTAGCGTCCTATTATCCCGACTTTCCTTCTATTTGAAATGACCTTGATTTTTGGTTTTCCCCGGACGGGTAGGCAGTTACTTTACGTTTGTCTGAGCTATACCCAGAGATACCCTTCTGCAATTCATGTACATATTATTTATGAAGTATGGCATATTAGTTAAGTATTAATAAACATCGACGGGCATGACCTGCACATCTTCCACTATCTGAAAGCCGCGTAGACCCCGTATGAATCCCGAATGTCATATCGGCAGCTTTTCTCCACCACCGGGTTATGGCCAACGATTCGTCGCATCAAGGGCTTTCCTGCCGCCCCTCCGAATTCAATGGAACGGCAAACCATGGCACGACCCTGCCCGAGACTAACAGACACCGCGCGGCCCACGGACCACGATCCACTTGATGATGTCAGTCCACCGTCGCGTTATGATTCCGTAATGTACCTATCCTAGACTTGGCTAGAGTTCCAATTGGATCGATCGTCGTGCGCGGGGGCGGCTGAATTGCGCGAATGAACGAGCCTGGGGGACTTGTCATCTACAGGTATAAATTGTCTAGGATCCTGCATTTGTCGATCGAGGTGATTGATACCTAGTTGGTGATCGACTATTTTCCGCTGGACTGCGCTTTGACAGCTCTCTGTTTGTGTTTTTGATCTTCAGGTCGCACAACCTCCTCATCCAGTCTGAGGCGATATCCACAGACACAAACACATTCGGCATAGGCTCCTAAGTAGGTGTTCTATTCCCTGATCTACTTATCTAAACTAACCATGCGCACCTAGCCACCCACAAATACAATGACAATAACCACCAGTCTACGAATAACCCGAGCTCGGGAATGGCTACAAAGCATCAGCAGCACGGGGGACCACGCGGGCTGTCTAACCGATCCGTCGAACCCCTCGATGGACGCGACGGGCAGGAAAGGTCCAACCAGCGAAGAAGAAACGGGACCCGAGATATCGCCCTCAAGCCACTTCTCCTGCCGGTGTTGCCGAGAGCATAATGTGCACTGTGACGGGCTGATGCCGAGCTGTTCGTATTGCGCGCATGAACAGCTTCTTTGTTTTTATGTGACACCGAAGAGGAGTCGGAGGTTGCGGATGTCGTCTTAGTATCCGTCTATATTCTGATTTCGATTCTTCTTTCACTTCTACTTTCTCGTTATCGCCTCTATATACCTTGGACGGGTGGCCTGGGTAGCAGGAGCTGGTCTTATACCTACCCTTTCTATCACATGTCCGCCTAGCACGTCTAATACGAAGCAATCCAACAACTCAAGCCACTGCAGTTTCTCGATCACTCTTGCTCTTCCCATCAATCAACTCAATCTTGGGTTAAATAGTTATATTCAATTTCTCATTTCGTCTTTGCGAGTAAGCGCGCACGCATCCTATAATTATCAGTACCTATTCCTTCCAGATGCTTTACAAGGTATCCTTTATACCTAGACATCATGGATAAATTATTTTGCTGTCAAGGCGCTCCTTTGCAACCTTCCCCGTATCTTCCTTCGTCCTGCACTCGGTGTCGTACTCCTACATGTATGTATTATCAATGAGATGTATAGAGTATCACTACTGTCTACTCTGCTGGATACTCTTTATGTTCGGAAACGTTGATCTTCTACTAAAACCCCGGAACGCTGTCGGTGGGACGCAGTCTAGCACAAGAGAACTACGGTCGCTATTTGATAGTTTCTATAAATACTGCATTTTCAAGTCTCAGAACGATTACTTGGATAGACATGATAAATCTCAACCGCAACAGAAAGAGTGTGTTTTGGCATGACCAGATGTAATCACACGACGATTATCTCTTAAAAGGATAATTGCAGACGGGGCCTGGTACAGGCGGTCTCGAAATTCCTCTGACCTTCAGACACATGACTATTGTTTCCCAGCCCACTGCCAAGAGCTTAGCGCGAGCCGATGATTTGAGCAATCTTTGATACAATACAGTCTGTATTTGTCGGTAATTGTTAGGACGGCTTGGTTTTCCATCACGTGATTTTCACATAATTATAATCTCGGGCCCGAAAAAGTCCATCACATGGGAAATGCAGTGCACCACAGAATACCTCACATGACTGAGAACGTAATTATGGCAACTCTGCCGCTCGTGCTACCAAGTGCAATAGTACTGTTCTTAACCGTTGACGAGTAAGGGTGATAATTTGGAGGTAGCCAAAGCTCTCTTTGACCCTGAATAGTAACCCATCGATCTGCTCCCAGAGATACCTCTGTCACCTTCTCGGAGGAAGCTGGGAAGCTTTTATAGCAGCTTCGGATATCGAAAGATCCTATGTTAGTAATCAATAGCGGCAGGTGCTCCGAAAATTCAACGTCGGTTGCAACGTGGTCAGTGCTTATGTCATGCTTGAGAGCCCCCGTGGCCGCATCCCACAGCTTGATGGTCTTGTCGTCCGAGGCAGATGCCAGCAGCTGGCCGTTGCCTGAGAAGGCGACTGAGAGAACCGCACCAGAATGGCCCTTCAGTGTATGCTTGAGAGCCCCCGTGGCCGCATCCCACAGCTCGATGGTCTTGTAGTGCAAGCCAGATGCCAGCAGCTGGCCGTTGCCTGAGAAGGCGACCGAATGAACTGTACCGGTATGGCCCTCCAGTGTATGCTTGAGAGCCCCCGTGGCCGCATCCCACAGCTTGATGGGCTTGACGTTGGAGGCGGATGCCAGCAGCTGGCCGTTGCCTGAGAAGGCGACTGAGAGAACCGCATCAGAATGGCCCTTCAGTGTATGCTTGAGAGCCCCCGTGGCCGCATCCCACAGCTTAATGGTCTTGTCGTCGGAGCCGGTTGCTAGCAGCTGGCCGTTGCCTGAGAAGGCGACCGAGCGAACCCAGCCAGAATAGCCCTCCAGTATATGCATAAGAGCCCCCGTGGCCACATCCCACAGCTTAATGGTCTTGTCGTCAGAGCCGGATGCCAGCAGCTGGCCGTTGCCTGAGAAGGTGACTGAGAGAACTGCACCAGAATGGCCCTCCAGTGTATGCTTGAGAGCCCCCGTGGCCGCATCCCACAGCTTGATGGTCTTGTCGTTGGAGCCGGATGCCAGCAGCTGGCCGTCGCATGAGAAGGCAACCGAGCGAACTGTACCAGAATGGCCCTCCAGTGTATGCTTGAGAGCGCCTGCGGCCGCATCCCACAGCTTGATGGTCGTGTCCGCCGAGCCAGATACCAGCGGCTGGCCGTTGCCTGAGAAGGCGACTGAGAGAACCGCACCAGAATGGCCCTCCAGTGTATGCTTGAGAGCCCCCGTGGCCGCATCCCACAGCTTGATGGTCTTGTCGTTGGAGCCGGATGTCAGCAGCTGGCCGTCGCATGAGAAGGCGACCGAGTGAACTGCAGCAGAATGGCCCTTCAGTGTATGCTTGAGAGCCCCCGTGGCCGCATCCCACAGCTTGATGGTCTTGTCGTTGGAGCCGGATGCCAGCAGCTGGCCGTTGCCTAAGAAGGTGACTGAGAGAACTACACCAGAATGGCCCTTCAGTGTATGCTTGGAAGCCCCCGTGGCCGCATCCCACAGCTTAATGGTCTTGTCGTCGGAGCCGGATGCCAGCAGCTGGCCGTTGCCTGAGAAGGCGACCGAGCGAACCCAGCCAGAATGGCCCTCCAGTGTATGCTTAAGAGCGCCCGTGGCCGCATCCCACAGCTTGATGGTCTTGTCGTTAGAGCCGGATGCCATCAGCTGGCCGTTGCCTGAAAAGGCGACTGAGAGAACCGCACCAGAATGGCCCTCCAGTGTATGCTTGAGAGCCCCCGTGGCCGCATCCCACAGCTTGATGGTCTTGTCGTTGGAGCCGGATGCCAGCAGCTGGCCATTGCCTGAGAAGGCGACTGAGAGAACCAAGCCAAAATGGCTCTTCAATGTATGCTTGAGAGCCCCCGTGGCCGCATCCCACAGCTTAATTGTTTTGTCGTGCGAGCCAGATGCCAGCAGCTGGCCGTTGCCTGAGAAGGCGACCGAGAGAACCAAGCTAGAATGGCCCTCCAGTGTTTGAATCTCTGGATCCCAATACTCTTCTATTTTTGGACCTCTGGATAACCAAGCAGGGAGTTCTCCCTTAAAAGTCTCTCTGATCAATGCCCGATGTGGTGCGAAAATCAGGCCAGAGCTATACAGTTGCAGTGGTGCCGTATCAATAATTTGTGCAAATTTTAGGATAAATCTGCGTGTATCTAGTACGAAGACATGCATCTCATTACTGGATTTATCCTAGATTTTCCACCAGTGTTAGTCGGTTGGCTGCTACAAGCTACTTTATTACTCACTTTGGTCAGTTGGAGCAATGAATTCACTGCAGTTATGGCTTCAGATATCATCCCCAGAACGCCCATAACTTCAACCCAATGAAGAAAGTGTTCCTTTAGGAATGTAAGCACCAGGTCAAGAATTCTGGCTGGTGCTGAACCTTGGGTAAGATGGTAAACCCAGTAACGACAGGCATACCGAAGGGCAGGCGGAAGAGATCTTGCTATAGAATCAGGACCTATCTCTGTTCGGCTGGTCCCATAACTTGGCAGATTGCAAATATTTTTCATGAGGTAATGGCCCATGACAGCAAGACATTGGCGGGCTATGAGGCCGTGCTTCTCTCTTTTATCCACCCAGAATCGAGATGTGGCCTTTTGGTTTTTTGTGCGACAATCCACCAGATAATCATGAAAGGACAAATGCAATGTCCGTATCGGCAGTGAGGCCTCGCCAGGTATGGTTAGAACTGAATGGAATGAGTCTAGCCTGGTGTTGATTACATCTTCTGGCATCTCGAGAAGTTCTGCAAGAGAGCTCAATGATAAGGGGGCAGCAAGAAGAATTATCACACCAACGGTTCTCTGGAACTCTTCGATCAATTTATCTGTCTCGCAATCGTCCTCGGTAAGAAGTTGACTTAAGATCGGTCGGTATGTCTTATCCATCTTGGATCCCGACAAATCCGTGAAAAACTCCTGCAGCCGCTTTTCAGGGTTCCATTTTCTATCATCTACAAACCGACACACTGTGGCTGCAAAGATAAAGAGCGGAACAGCCATCGTCGCTAAGGCTTCGATTCTTTCCTCTCCAGGCCAACTAGGAGGAAGAATTTTTTGGCGTTTTCGCTGTATTCTGGAAAATTCTTCTTTGAGATATAGAATGATATCATGTTTTATCACATCCTCATCCAGATTTTGCAGGATAGTATTCTGGTAGTTGCTTTTCTCGATCTGGTCAAATCCAAAACGGATGGTTGACTCTGGCCGGCTGGTTAAGAAGAATCGGATTGCCATATTTGTTACCATCTCGACCTTGGGTAAGAGGTTGAGGATGATTTCGACATCTTCCTCCGGTTCGCATTCATCGAGGGCGTCGATGACAATCACTGTAGATTTCATAGCTTCACCATGATCTACAGCAAGTAATGGCTGTAACATGAGCTTATTGAACTGATCTCGAAGCGAACTTCCGGAAATTGCAGGGTCATCTTCAATAGCTTCTCGGATTCCAGAGACCATTTGAGGCATGTGCACTGCTAACTGCTTCACGATTGTTGGAAAGAACTTTACTGCTGAGCCCCGATCTCCCTCGCCCCTTTTGAAGAAGAAACTTGCCCCGAGGATGCCATCCCCTTTGAACAATCGGGCTACCGTTCTCGCAATAGTAGACTTGCCAGTGCCTGCCATTCCGCTCAACCAGAATATACATTTGTCACTGGACCTACCCCAGTCCTGCACCTGCCGAAGCAACTCCGTTCGCGTTCCAGCAAGGCATTCATCCTCATGCTGGTCCTCGAAGGAGCCAAAAAAAGCGCCTCTGGAAAAAGGAAGATTTAACATTTCAACTGCATCGTGCACTTTTTGGATGTCCATAGTCAATGCATCGAGGTGATTCAGAATAGCTTCTGCTTCCTTCTTCCGGAGTAGATGCTGGTCCAGGACCAACCAGTCATGCAAGTGGGACTCCTCTGCTTCGATCGAGGCCTTGAGCTGCGTAAGTGGCTGGCTTGTTAGAGCCGTTATACTCTTCAAAATGTCTTTTCCCTTGTTGGACTGTTGTACTCTCCGTACTTCGGCGGAGTATCGCAAAATTGCCACATACATCCGAACAATCGATCGTTCTTTTTCGACATTCACCATAACAGGATCTCTATTCCCATAGAAGTGTTCTTCGATGAAGGCACAACGAATCAGCAAATCCGCTAGGTATCCCGATGATTCAAGTAGTGCGTCCTTGCGGTCTGCATGATTCTTAGCCATCTAAGTCATTAGCTGATTGTCTCGCTTGGTTAGTGCAAGGACCTTACTGTTAATCCCAGAGATACTATCCCCCAAGCACTGGAAGCGTACCCAGTTGGATCAAATTTTACGATACTACCAACAATGTCTTGAAAAGACAGCGCCGAGTATAGTATTTTATGGGCTGTGGCCCGAATACCATCCTTTCCCTTCTTTTTCCTGTAGTGCGCCTCTGTCGCCTTTACTACCTCGTCCAATATCTCTCTCATTCGTGCATCGCCAACGTCTTGAGGCTTGGTTCCGGTCGGCGGGAAAAGTATTGCTACACTATCTGGATCGCTCTCTGTTAACTTGTCGTACGCCATTTGCCAAAATCCTTTCGTGTTGTGTTCGCCGGGTTGGAAAATGTCATATTTGGCATTGGCAGGGCCACCTTTGGCGTCTGAATCCGCGGTGATGATTACAGTGCTCGATTTCGGGGCAATAAGACGTGTATCTTTGTATCTTTTCCGCCCTTTGAAAACGGTTCTCAAGGATCCGAACAAGCTGTGCGTCTTATCTTGGATAGAAGCACTAGGAGTGTTCATATTTAAACCGGTGATATTGCTTTGCGATGAGATTTGGCCGCAGGGGTGTGAAGTAAAGTTCGCTAGCAATGAGTTCGGAAGCAAGAAGGAAAAGGACCAGGGGCAGTCTAGCTATTTCTGAGAAAATATCGGCGGGGAAGGCTGGGGAGCAGTCTTCAGCCAACCATTGGCTGCAGAGAGGCCTGTTTTGACGCGCCATGCTTGTTTGCTCTTTTTTCTGGTTAAATCGAGGGTCGTGGCTCTTTCAGAATCTGGGTAATACTTGACGGCGCAACTCAGTTTACTCAGGATTTGAACAATGAAATATTTCACATCTGACGGTTGGTGCGGCTTCTTTAGAGCTCAAGTGAGTCGCAAACAGGGAAGGTGGTTTAATCTCTTACGCCTCTGGCGGTTTACCGAGTTCAGTGACTACCAGTCCCAACCCGGATTAGGCTCGGAACGGAAAGTCTACTGTCCGAATAGGTGTGGGGTTTAGAAAGCATGCTACCCACAAAATTGTCCAAACAGGGCGAGCCACGATCGAGATTCAGCAGCTGGTCGGGCACCGGAGCCATTATCGGGCCGTGCTGACAATCGCGGGTTTCGTTCCGTAAACACCACGTAGCAGGTTGTGCTCCCTACCACAGGGCTACATCCCACATGAATCGAAGATGCCGGCAAATCTGAAAGCTCCGCAACTCGAGCAGATTCAGCATAAGATCGAGAACGGGTCATCGAAACGAGCCAAAATCGCCTTTGTCGCCGGTTGTAGCAAGCAAGCTGTAACATATATCCGTCAGAACCTGGAGGCGTTTGGCAATGTCAGAGCCCCCCCGGAACGGCGTCGGACGCCCTCGAAGTACCACCCCATCGATGCTTGAAGCCGTGTTGGAACGCCTGAAGGAAAAACCGACTCTTTACTTGGATGAATCAGTGGTGTCTGACCTTCAAACACAAGCGTAGGCCCTTGATGTAGGCAATTTGGGTCCCATTACTAACAGTGAATAGGTCTGTACCACGAAGGGCTCAGAGGTCTAGGAACTATCGGGGTAATTTGGCTCCCAGCCTTCCTCGTCTGTGGTCCCCTCATCATCCGATCCATGATTGTCCCTTAGACACCACCGATCCAACCGAGCTCTCTGCTTAGGTGTGATAATAAACCGTTCCTTATATGCAGCAAGCACCAGGGTCCTTGTACGCCATTTGAAAGTACCTGGGTGTGACACGACAAATAGCACAGCATTATAAACTTTGGCGCAGTCTTTGATTTCATCGTGGAACTTGCCATTGATCATCAAAAACATGAGTCGAAACGCTGCATCTCTCGCTATGGCTTTATTTCCCTTAACGGCTCGGTACCGCTTGTGGTCAAGCTCATAAGTAGTTTTACAGGCTCTGAGGTCGACAAAAATATCATCGATCGATTGTTGTCCAAGCACATCGACTCCGAGGAAATCATATGTTTCACAAAGTGTGTGATACTGAGAAACATCAGCAGGTAACGAACGGAGACAATGCCTATAGCCCATTTCAATTCCGTTGAGCGCAACACCAAACAAAGGAATAGCGCCGTGATCAAATTTTGAGACCTGCGGTTGAGCTTTTTGTTGAAAGTCGACGAAGGAACGAAGGTACGGAATCATGGAGAGGTTAATATCGTACGAAATATCTCCGATTTTCAATTTCGTCTTTCGGATTTCTGGTTTCTCTGATCGAATTGCTGAGTTGGTGTCCGTTTCCGAGACTGTTGGCGTATCATTCTGGTTGTTCAACTTGGAATAAATGTCATGTGGTAACAACTGCCTTCCTTCGACTTTCCAGACCACTAACTCATCATGCTGGCCATCATACTTGACAACGGCTTTCCCACCATTCTCTTTTACCACGTCGACGATTCTTCTGATTATCGTAGCTAACTTCATGAGGTCTTCTTGGTGTTCACTTTCCCATTTCTTGATCTCAAGCGTGACGTCTTCTACTTTTGGCAGCTCAAATAAACCGTTTCTGTGATAGGCACGCACGAGATTGGGGGTTTGGGATACCCACAACTGCGGAAGAATTTCTTGAAGGTCGATATTCTTGTGGAAGACCCGTGTTTTGATTTCGAGGGTTGATTCTATTGGAACGGTTTTGCCTTCTTTTTTGATCCTTAATGCGGTCCCTGTGGTGGCCATATGAGGAAGCCCGTTAGTTGAGAGAAGTGATAGTGACTCTATCATCCTGGATAGTGGGCCCACTTCTGCATCCGCATTTGAGGGTACATCAACGTATCCGTCTGTTTCGTAGCGCAGCATGAGTCTCAAATCACCAAAGCGATATGAGATGATCCTGTGATGCCCAGTACTGCCGAATATCGGGCTTGTAGTGTACGCTTTCTCAAACTCGTGACCGAATCCCCTAAACTCATGTGGCCTTATGTATCTTTTGTTTTCTGTCTCCGTGCGACAAAAAATGGCAGTGTTGTTCTCAACTTCAACATTGATCGTGAATGGCTCCAGTCCACTTTTCGCTGGGCCTGAGTTGACAAACGACAAAAGTTTCCGAATATTATTTCGATCAGTCACAAGATCAATTGAATTAATATCGAACGAAGGGTTCGACATGTACAAAGCGCGAAAAAGTGGTTCAAGTGGACATTCTGGAAGGCGAGCTGCATTCTGGGCTATGTATATGAGGCCCGAATCTTTTGCTACCCTTTTAGCAATCTTTGGTGGAGACCACAGTGGGGGGATGCCCGGGACAGCAATAGTGGGAACGGATGCTTCAATCCAATTGTAAGACGACAAATGTTGGACATCGCTGATTGATACTCTAGTAACTTCAAGCTCGTGGGATTTCGGACAGGCGAGCTCTGCGATCTTTGAAATATCCATCATAACTGGGACTGCAGCGACAATAACGTATACAACAGCATTTAGCAATCAAATAAGTATGTTCCACCGAACGTTGCAAGTGTCCTGGATCTGCCTAAATAGCCAAATACCCCTCAACCTTTGTCCCTCGACGGGGGTCCTGGTATTGTGACTCTCCAGTACGATTAAAGGTAGGTGCCCAACGTGTAACACTAAGGTTCTGGTTCGTGATTTTAATTCGTTCCCATTATGTCCAGATGGAACTCACAAGCGCTTAGACCCCTTAGAAAGTACGAAATGGGTCTACTGCATTGTCGATTGGGTATCAACCCACTTTTGTTCAAGTGACAGCGGGGTAGCTTTCCGGCGCAGATCGACCACATTCTCTGCCAAGCCCTCCGAACTGCCACAACTGGGAAGTCATGCGACTTTATTTACTGTACATTCCCGTACACTGTCTAAAATATAATTCTCGGAAAGTTACAAAAGCGGTTAAGCGCAATTCTTGGCATGGGGTTCGGGAGACAATCATATACAATTATCGGTTATTACCGGAATGCTAAAAGAGAAATCCAACCTGACGGATGTCCTAATGCGAGTATGTTCGACTTGGCCGCTGAACAGGAATGCCTAGCTTCGGGAGGGAGCCATAGAACTTGTTGCCCATTTACCGCTATCCATTCTCTGTGTAGGATTATCTGTGGGTCCATTTTGGGTGAACCAGTAGGGTTGCCACAGCTGGACCGAATTTTGAATGCCCCTAGGTTAGTTGCGAGATAGGAGCTGTCCTGCGAAAATTCAATCTTCGTGAGAAGACCACCAGTACTCACTATTTCCTTTAGAGCACCTGTGGCCGGGTCCCAAAGCCGTATTGTCTTATCAAACGAGCCGGACGCCAGCAGCCGGCCATCAGGCGAGAAGGCCACGGACTGAACCGAGCTTGTATGACCCTCAAGCGTCAGCTGCAGAGCGCCTGTAGCCGGGTCCCAAAGCCGTATTGTCTTATCAAACGAGCCAGACGCCAGCAGCCAGCTATTAGATGAGAAGGTCACGGACTGAACTGGATTTGTATGGCCCTTGAGTGTCAACTGCAACGCGCCCGTGGCTGGATCCCAGAGCCGTATTGTCTTATCGAACGAGCTAGATGCCAGTATCCGACCATCCGGTGAGAAGGCCACGGACGAAACCCAGTCTGTATGGCCCTTGAGAGTTAGCTGCAGAGAACCCGTGGCTGGATCCCAAAGCCGTATAGTCTTATCGTCCGAGCTGGACGCTAACATCCGGCCATCTGGTGAGAAGGCCACGGATGAAATCCAGTCTGTATGACCACCGAGTGTCAGCTGCAGAGCGCCTGTGGCTGGATCCCAGAGCCGCAATATCTTATCGTCCGAGCTAGACACCAGTAGCCGGCCATCAGGTGAGAACGTCAGAGACTGGACTGGGCCTGTATGGCCCTCGAGTGTCAGCTGCAGAGCGCCTGTGGCTGGATCCCAGAGCCGTATTGTCTTATCGTTTGAGCTAGATGCCAGTATCCGACCATCCGGTGAGAAGGCCACGGACTGAACTGGGTTTGTATGGCCCTTGAGTGTCAACTGCAACGCGCCCGTGGCTGGATCCCAGAGCCGTATTGTCTTATCGTTTGAGCTAGATGCCAGTATCCGACCATCCGGTGAGAAGGCCACGGACGAAACCCAGTCTGTATGGCCCTTGAGAGTTAGCTGCAGAGAACCCGTGGCTGGATCCCAAAGCCGTATAGTCTTATCGTCCGAGCTGGACGCTAACATCCGGCCATCTAGTGAGAAGGCCACGGATGAAATCCAGTCTGTATGACCACCGAGTGTCAGCTGCAGAGCGCCTGTAGCTGGATCCCAGAGCCGTAATGTCTTATCACCCGAGCTAGACACTAGTAGCCGGCCATCAGGTGAGAAGGCTACGCACTGAACTGGGTTTGTATGGCCCTCGAGTGTCAGCTGCAGAGCGCCTGTGGCTGGATCCCAGAGCCGTATTGTCTTATCGAACGAGCTAGACGCCAGTATCCGGCCATCTGGTGAGAAGGCCACCGATGAAATCCGGTCTATATGACCCTCGAGTGTCAGCTGCAGGGCGCCCGTGGCTGGATCCCAGAGCCGTATTGTCTTATCGTCCGAGCCGGACGCCAGCATACGGCCATCTGTCGAGAAGGCCACAGAATAAACCCAGTCTGTATGGCCCTCGAGTATCTGCAACTCTGCACTCCAGGTTTCCAGAGCTTGTGGGAAGCGGCAGATCCAACCAGGAAGCTCTGATTGGAACTGCTCGCGGATTATTGCCGTTCGGGGTGCAAACACCAACCCTGAATAATAAATTTGAAGAGGCGCTTCATCGGCTATCTGTCGATTTTTCAGAACAAACCGCTTTGCATCATGTAGAAAGTTGACCAGACTAGAATTGTGATCATGGCCCTGCCTTCATCAGTATAGCTCGTGGATAACCGTTGACCATATACTTACTGACACTATCATACAAAGAACGTCGAGCATGCCCATCATCTCCGATATAAGACCCAACAGGCTCATCGCTTCCATCCAGTGAAGAAAATGTTTCTGGAGGAACAGCCACACCTCTTCTACGTCAGAAGATAAAGCGTGGCTATTTTTCAGATGATGTGTCCAGTAGCGACAGGAGTATTGCAACTCCGATAGTAGACATTTATGGATATCTAGAGGGTCGATGTCCGCCCTACGCACTCCAGGGTCTGCTATATTGCAGATATCTCTCCGCAGTAGACGCCACATAGTTCTCAGACAGGATTTTGCAACGTCTTTGTGCTTGGCCGGCGCATCCACACGAAACTTGGTTGTTGTCTGGACCAAGAATTCCGGAAATGAGAGGTGCAGAATTCTAACCGGTTGATTTTCGTCATTAGGGATGCTAAGGACCGATCGAAAGGAATCTAACCGATTGCTGATCTGGTCCCTTTCTCTCCCAAGAAACGGAGATAGTGTGTTTATAGCAAGCGGAACAGCAAGAAGAATGATAACTCCCACAAT